TTGGTTTTTTGAAGTATAGTTACGCAATAAAATTCTGAACAAACCTTATTTGAAAGGTACGAACAATTTGTATAGGAAAAGAAAGTTTTTATTATTTTCTAATCAATCTGTTCGTATTTTCTCACCACTTAAACCTTCTTTGGAGTTCTATAAATATTTCAAAAACGAAATTAGCCAAATCGTTCCGATGTTTTTGAGTTTTATAGATTTATATAGTTAGATATATACCTGAGACCTCCTGAGATTTCCATCAATAATTATCTATATCCACCTATAGTTTCATGATACAACTAATGGATAAACAGAAAATTTGGGTATTTATCAGGTTTTATAATAAAGAATTATGTGACAAATAAATATTGACTGGTATTAGCTATAAAATATACAAAGGGTTGCAAATCTCCACAGCTTTATGCACTTAATCGGTTTTAATTACGTATAACAAGTTCCTGTTTACAAATTACTTTTTTATGAGAAACTGTAAGTCACTGTAAGGGTAATAGGAGTTAATAAGAATAGAGTAGCCATAGTGTTGAAGGCCAGTGTGTTATTGCTAACGATTAAACCAATTGCACTCACAAATATAGGTTAATTAACAGTCAATAGAAACGTAATAGCTGTGCATGGAAAGATAACAATATAGGTAAGTGCCTAGTTAACCAACACGACATACTTTAAATTTATTTTTTTCTGTACTGTATAAATAGAACAATGATATAAAATCACGGCTATCATCCCTAATAGGGTAGACAAGAAGCGTTGGCCATTGTCGATGCTGTGATGAACACAACACTTGACAGGAACACATTTAGCTGAGTAGGTATGGTATGATAGACGATGTGGTTTAAAGTATGTATAAGTCTTTCTATTTGTTGTTGTCTTCTCAGGACTATGCGGAACAACATATCCAATTGGACGTGAATGAAAATCACGCGCTTGTCAAAAAAAAGTCGAAGTTATTATTCTCTCATTATCTTCTAGCACATGCTTTTTCACGATCGAGGGCGATCTCAACAAGAGAGTAAAAATCATAATAAAAGTCGTCTGAAATAGGTGAGACTGAAGTGGGCTCGGTTTCACTTATTTTAGGAGTCAGTCAGCTTGTTCTGTTAGCTGTGTTTTCGTAATAGGATCATATTAGGCAGTGAAATTACAGGATAAGAGGCATGATATCTTACTCCTCTGGAATGATAACCCATGAATGGTCACGTGTATCACATGATAATGTGATGTCAGTAATCTGTAGTGCTGTTCATGCACGAGTATATAAGCGACGGTTACTGCTTACCAGGTGGGTCATCGGTTTGTTTTACAATTACATTACATTTTGGTTTACAATTCCTTTTAAATGATTACTAAAAAATAAAAAAATCTCGAATAGAAAAGGTACTCAATTGCTTGCTTACAAAATAATATTTATAAATGGACTGTCTCTATATCTACGTTTTGCTTTGGTAATTATTGTATTTTTAAATATCGTACACTTAAATAAATGTGACACAGCATGGTTCCCGGATACTAATTTAGAACCACACACCGTGGCATCGTGGGTGACAATTAATATGAAACGAGAACTGGACATATCCATTTATCTTAATAAATGATGATTGCTAGAGTTCTCTATTTTATAATAATATATATCTAGACAATTCATACAGCGTCATCTAGTGTTATTAGGTACTAGACAACTGATATAAAAACACAGATATTTTTTTAAAATACATACATAATATACATAGAAAACACCCAGACCGATACAAGCAATCATACTAATGAACACAAACGTTTGTACCATGCGAGGATACGAACCCGCGACCATTGTTAGTAGTATTATAATAATATATACGTAATAGTGTAAAGTGGGAGCTCAAATAAATATTTTGATATTTGCAATAGACTTTTTATATCAAATATGAACAATAATAAACATGTCTTCACAGATTTTTATTAAATCTGTGAACACGTACAAATGAATTTGGGCTCACATTGTCTTCAAAAATAAGATAGTCTTATAATATCAATTTCAAATGGCTTTGGTTAGCGTCAAACTGGTTTGGTAAAGAATTTTATTTCTACCTTTTTGTTCCCACTGGTTATCCAGTAATTATGGGGTAGCACAACAGGCAAAATACTGCGGGCCCACGACCCGAAGCGATCCCTGGATCGAGACGCAATGAGCACAGGAAGAATTTTTTATTCATATTTATATTGATTCCATTTATTATATTAATGAGAGTTTAATATAAAAGTAAATATAAAATTTAAAAAAAAAAACTAAAATATGAAGATTTTTTAAATAAAGAGTATTAGCATCATACTATAAATTTGCATGCATTTGCATTGCATGCACCTCGTTCCCTGGTACAACAAACAAGCTATGAAAATGTAGTGACCTCTAAACTTACTTTATCACCTCACACAATATATAATACACTATAAGTAGCCTAAACACCAGGGGGCGTGCGTGTTATCAACCCTATAGAAACCTTATACCCTTCTGCAGATTTTACTGTTTGAATTCTATATTCATCCAGAGTGACATAAGATAGATATCATTAATTAATGAAAATTCTTTATTGTTTTTCTCCGTGAATAAAAACAAACATTTACATGCACTGTTATGTACAAATATATGTAGAAACATACTCCAATGAGCAAGATAAAGAGGCAACAATAGCATTATCGCTGAAAAGCGATTTCTTCCAGGCTATATATTATGTCAATACAAGCTGTGACCGTGATATCATCCGCATGAAATTTATAGCCTATGTGTTATTCTGATGTACTGTAATGCTTCATCAGAATCAGTTTAGTAGTTTTTGCTTAAAAGATTAACACATCCATCCATAGTCACAAACTTTCTCGTTTATAATATCAGTACGATAAGATAAACCAACAAGGTTAGAGTTCTGAAACAAAGCAGGGGTTGTAAGTATTTGGTGGGAAGTGTCAACTGCTAAAGGATAAGGCTCATTAGAAGATTATAACGCAGTCGGCACACTTGAAACTTCCGTGCGGGCCCCCATTAGCATATTTATAGATATCTACTGGTCTTACGCTTACTCTTTGTGAGTTTTGAATACATTAACATAATATATAGTTTATGTCACTCTGAAATAAATTACCTTTTAAACGCTGAACGATTTTCATAAATCAATGCAGGTTCTGAAGTTTATTCTCATCATAACAAAATATAATAACTTTCTTCATATTACGATTAGATTTTACATCACAACATCCATATGACTGTCACTTTCTAAATAAACACTGAAAATGTAAATACAAAATCAAACTATATACTTTAATTTATTGTTTTTTTATAATTATATAATATATAATAGGTCAAGTATTCCTGCAGGACTAAGGCCTGTGCCTCTGAACCCTGTAGTTTCACTGTCATATTTTACCCCAACCAAAACAGCTTACAAAGCTACTAGGTACAAGCTATAGGTGAGACAAAGGTTTGTAACCACGACTTTGTACTAAGTCTACTTAGATCCAATATTAATAATTCTGCTTATATTAACTTTAGAACATGAACCTATTGTATACCTATGGTATACCGATAACACAATGTTCGTTTAATATCAGTTAAAAAAATCTTGTCACGGTGTTTGTTATCGAAGTTCCTTGACCGATTTTTAAGAAATTTTAATGTATATTTGGTAGCTCTAAGAGTAGCTCGTAGGATATTTTTACACCCCTGGGTGATAAAGGTGGCCCGTATCCAGAAATCTTACTAATATTATAAACGCAAATGTTTGTGAGCTGGATTAATATTTTATTTATTTAGAATCAATTATTACCAACATACATATAAATAAATTTGAACACATAAATGAAATGATATCACACAAATGATTTTTTATTTGTATTTCAGTATGGATGGATGTTTGTTACTCTATCACGCAAAAACTACTAGACCGATTTTGATGAAACTTTACAGTAATATAGCTTATACATCAGATTAACACATAGGCTATTTTCACGCGGGTGAAACCGCGGTAGGGTAAGTAATTTATATGGCAAAACATTTCGGAGTTCCGTTTATTATTACTACCTACGTACAAACAACGCTCCTCTACTCCGCACTCGTGCTTTATCACATTTTGCGAGTCTAGTTCGCATTTATGCTTCTTATCGTAACTTCATTCACCGAAAGCTAACAATTGATAATGCACGTATTATGCCGGTAAATTTATAAAATTGTTCAATTAAAGAGTTATAGGTAATATTTTTTTAGATTTGCAAGTGCGTTCACTTCGCATATAAATTTTTGACCCATAACTGGGCAAGGTCAAAATTATTGACTGTGCGCTAATATAAATGAGACTTGTCATAAATATATAAAAAAGGCTATAGAAGATATTTTAGATTTTGTTTTTGAATAATGACCAAATTCTTTTTGTTTGTCTAAATGAAGACAAATTGTATGAATGAACCGAAATAATTAAAGTACTTAATTTCAATTTAAACAACTAACCTTTTATTTTTCTATTATGATTAGATTTCATGATATTTGTGTTATGAACTATTTATTGGCCATATCATTTAACGTTCAACGTTTGTTGGTTTGTTCATTAATGTTTGCCTATATCATTAAAGTAGGCCCGTACATACAATTCAAATATAAACTTGAAGACGGACAATGTATTAAATTTGACTCTTATTCACTGTTACATTTGCCAATTCTGGTCCGAATCTGATCATTCCTTTAATAGCAAGGGTTTTAAAACATCGTATTGAAATATCCTGTCAGTAATAATATTTCCCATGATCTTTTTACGATTTATTTCGCCTGAAGGTTTGTATATTTGTTTAGATCGACTGAATTTTACAGACACTCGATAGAGCTGAAATTTACTATACCACTTTTTAGTAATATAGTATAGCAAAGCAAAATGGTGGACTTGAGACCTGAAAATAAGTATTAAATGAGAGTGATGAAATCACATGAAAATAAGTATTAAATTATAACACGCTATTGTTATTTTTTCCAGTACATAGAAAAGTTCCTGAACGAGTCGGAGCATGGTGTTATTCTACTGAGCTTTGGCTCCCTGATAAAGACATCCACGATACCAAAACACAAGGAAGAGATGATAATAAGAGTTCTCTCTAAGTTCAAGCAGAGAGTCATATGGAAGTACGAGGACAGTGAAGAAGAAGGCACTCTTGTAGGAAACGTATTGAAGGTCAGATGGATACCACAGTACGAGTTATTAAGTGAGTATCACATCTCCTCTACGTAGAATGGCAAGCAAGGTGTTACCTGATGATAAGTGGCAACAGTCACTTATACCTACTTCTAATATAAATATATAAGAATTGTACTAGCACAGACAACACATTATCAAGTAACAACCGCGGAACAACTTATGCATTGCCATTCCACCAAGGTCGTAGTCTAGCGGCCGCGGGTCCGATTCCTTGGACGGTACAAATATTTGTGTATTATTTATATTTAGGAGGATAATCGTCTGTCTTGATGTTGTTGTGTTTGCCTAGTAGCCCTAATACAAGCTCTACATCACTTGGTACTAGATGAGGCTGTGTTAAATGACCAGGGATATTATTATTTTTTTTACTGTGCCCCTCTGAGTTACAGAACGATCCCGTTTTGTCTCGTTCATTACTTTTAAATTTTAGTACAAGCAGCAATTGTATTAGAGACAAATAAAAATGATTATTATTATTATTCCGGAGAACTAAGATGGTACGTCTCCGTACTCTATAATTTTACTGCCTTTAACCAAAATACTGCTTACTAAACAAGCTGCTTGACGCCTAATATAGATGACACAGAGGTCCCCACACAAATTAAAATTCAAAAATCATTCATTCATGTTCAAGAGTATTTTAGGCGCTTATTAACGTCAAGTTTTTTTTATATTAACATTTTTCCCTACCGTCCAATTGATTTAACTTACCGCTAACAACTTTGTATAAAGTGTACGGGACCGTATAAATGATAGTGAATCCTCTATAAAATCCGTTGCATGTTCATTAAGCGGAGGAGCAGAGTAGACGAATACAAAGACTTTCTTTATTAGATATCTATTAGAATATATATTTTTAATTAGTTATATAAATTATATTGAGGGCTTTAGTGGTATAGCGGTTTAGCACACCGATTTACTTCCTATGGTCGCGGGTTCAATTCCTCGCACGGTGCAGACATGTATTCATGAGTATGATTGTTTGCATCGGTCTGGATATTTTCTATGTATATTATGTCTGCATTGAACAAAATATCCAGGTATTTATATCAGTTGTCTAGTATACCCATAACGCAAGCTCTGCATACCGTGGGACTAGATGGCACTGTGTTAATTGTCCTAGGTAATATATTAGATACTATTATTATATTTCCTCAGAACACAAGAAGGTACTCGCGTTTATTGGACATGGCGGTCTGCTCGGTATGACGGAAGCGGTATCAGTCGGGAAACCAATGCTGGTGGTGCCATTTTACGGTGACCAGCCAACCAACGCAGCGGCTGCTGTCTCCATAGGCTTTGCCAAGAAAATCTCATACGCTGACTTCACCGACGAGTCTCTCTTCGAAGCTATCCAAAGTGTTCTGAGTGCTGAGTAAGTAATACCACAGATAAGATAATATTATCATTTTAGATACAAATCCAATTAATATAATAAATTTGAAAGCTGAATTAGGTATATTGTTTTATATTTTTGTTAATAACGCTTAAACTAAGGTTTACGGTTTACTTAAGGTTAAATTAAAATAAGGTGGGTAATTTAAAAATAAATATACAGATAGATTATTGAACATAAAGATAATAATAATTTAAGTGACGTTCATTAGTGAGTGAAGTTCATTAGCCCTATTGTTACTAGGTACCTACTGCACATAAGGGTTTGTACCATGTCTTATAAATACACCTTTGTTCCAGGATGCGGCTGAATGCTCGTCTGGTCTCCAAAATGTGGCACGACAGACAATCAAAACCCTTGGACACAGCAGTGTACTGGGTGGAGCGTGTGATCAGGTGGGGTCATAAGGACCCACTACACTCCCCTGCAAGGGATTTGAACTTCATCCAGTTATCGTTGTTGGACGTGGGTGCTGCTTTTGCTGTGATCATTATCCTATTAGTTTTAATTTTAAAGGCATTCGCGTCTCTCATATTACGCGTTATAAAAGTTAGTTTACATGTAAAGGAGAAGAAACATTAGATATTTTTTATCGAACTCAAAACAATTCTAAGATATTTGTAAAAATTGTAAATAGTGTCTAAAATAAATGAAAACGCAGTTATATAAATAAACATTTATCAGTTATAGAAAGTGTTTATAAAGATTTAAATTGCTGGAGTAATTTTTTAATGGCTATAGTTTAGAGATGAATAGGCACATCATGAATAAGTATTCAATAGGATTTCATTTACTTTGTATAACTCACTAAATTTAATATGCCTTTCACGATGAGAATGGTTAATAAAGCAACGAATAATTTTTTATGTGATATCCATTCTCGTAAAGATTGTATTGTAATTACTATTTGTGTGTAAAGTAAAATCTAAATTTAAAATTGTTTCAGCAAATATAATTTATTCATAGTATCGGACTGAATATATTTAGGATAGAAAAGAATGTATGGCCTTATGATATTAAATCAAAATAACTACTTATTTATTTTCTTGTTTGGGATATCGAAGTTGTGATGCATTATAAATTTTACTCGACACTAAAGTTGTTACTGTAAAATCCAATCCGCTTAAGAATCACGCAGTCTGAATGTTGTACAGGCCGTGACAATTGTGTCTCGAGGGATGTAGGGGTACCTTATAAGCATCGCTATTAACATATTTCTTTGTTCATCATGGAAAATTTGGGGTTATAGGGTTATCTATAAAATTATTAAGTTTATAATCATAATATATATCTATCATATCTTAATACAATTTTCTACCATTGATGTCTTTTGATTTCGGTACATTAAAACTGTGATTATACAATTCTGTACAATAAGCTACCAGAATAAACAATTTACTATATTAGTGTTTACTTTTATTATTATTTCCCGAGATGATATATATTTATTTATAGATATATTATATATTAGTCGGACATTGCAACTAATGAAAAGTGCAGTATAAGAATAGCGACTAGCACGTTGAAACGATAATATGATTTCATGCATATTCATAGTTTGCGATAATTTCCTAAGTAGGTTTAAAATATATGAAATGTGGACATGTCAAGCGTTATGTGCGTCTTAGTCATGAAGGCATAATACTTATATAATAATACCCCTGGACAATACACAAAACGTCGACTAATCCCAAGTTAAGCAGAGCTTGTGTTATGCGATAACTGATTTAATCTTAGATTTTTTGTAATACTATACATAGCAAACAGCCAGACTGATACAAACAATCATACTCATGAATACAAATTTTTGTATCGCGTGAGAAATCGAACTCACGACCATTGGAAGTAAAGCGGTGTGCTAAACCGCTAGACCACCGAGGGTGAGGAATCATATATTCCTCACTCTCGGTGTACCACCATATAATACATGTATATATGCAGTACTTGCTTAATGTACAAACAACCAGTTAGTTGTCTTCTCGTTTAACTACGCCTGGTTTTAAGTTAAACCAGACGTAGTTAAAACTTTTAACCAGACACATTTTGTTAGCACTATGTATAAATAATATAATATCATATATTTCTTCGCAACTTTAGCACTGCCTTTCATCCCTATAAAAATATATTAAATAAAACAAACTAATTATATTTCACATAATGTAATTCGATTGGGTGACGTAGGAGCGTAAGCATAATACAGCAATATAAACTGAACAACTTATTGTACCTAAATTAATAAGCGTAACATAAATATAAAAAAATATTATAGCCAATAGCTTAAGCCACAGGAACATTTTTTAATAACCAATATAAGATCTTTATAATTCAACAATATATAAAATGTTTGAATAGACATTTAAGCAGCCAATTCAGCTTGAAGTTTATTTATTTTTATTGGGAGTATCTTCACCATCTCCTGACATAAGATATACTCTTCATGCATCATAACTGCAGCATCTTTGTCGTTCATGCATATGTCAACAACAGCACTGTATGAATCATAACTTTTCTGAACATGTCTTAATTGTGTATTTTTGTCTAGAGCTATCCTTTTCATACTATTTCTACCGATAAATGCGTATGCACTTATAACTGGCCTTATAAGTTCAAACTCAAGTTTTTTTGGCATCTGCCCATTTTTATTTCTGACGGAATTTAAAAAATTATCATAATTCTCTATACTTTTTTCACATAGCAAGTTTACTTTCTTCAAAGCGTGCGGTGTTGGCTTCTCCTTATTTATTTTGTCGAGTTTTATATTCAAAATATCGGAATAGACTTCACCCAGTTCGTACCATAGCTGCCTGCAATACTGCATGTAATATGTTGGATTAATCTCCTTTAACAAATCCTCCAGGATGTCAATACGACGTTTATGCATTTTAGCTCTACGTTCGTCATCTTCTTCAAAGAATGCTAGGTAACTGTATGACTGTGAACTATCCTGCATAAGTTCTGTATAATCAGAGGCTAGTACATCTGCTCTATAATACTCTTTTGCTTTATTAAGCCAAGATTGACAACTTAAAAATACCTCGCGTGCATCCTGGTAGGTTGATAAGAATTTATATCCTATTTTACTTTCATATTTCGTTACATCAATATCTGGGAATATTAAAGTCTTCATATCACCACCACAAATATTTTCAGTATCATCTAACTTCAAGTCTGACATGTCTGTAATAAAAAGTTACACATTATTTAATTCATATTGCATAGGAAGTATATTATTGTATTTCAATAACAGTAATGTAAGAAGCCAAAATTTAAAATAAAAATATTTTTGTATGCAAATTGTGTGTTATACCTTTGATAGATTTAAAACATTTTTACTAGAGTATTTTTAAGAGATTACTTACTAAGGCAAAATAGGTAAAATACTTTTCTCAGTTTGGCCACTAGCTTTTCAGTTTGCCTCTTAATAAAATATGGAGAAAATTATAGTTTCAATGATTTTTCTATTATTGATTATAATTTGAATGTTATAAGCGGGTATTATTATATTTTAAATTACCTGAAATAGCTTCAGTCAATGTTTCGTCATCACTCATGAGTCTTGCTTTTGACGCAGTCATAAGTAACAAGCAATATTTAGCCCAACAGCGTGCAACATCAGCTGATCTGTGGTTGAAGGTCTCCAATTTAGCCAAAGCCACTTCATCATTACTATCATTTCCTTTCAACTCTTCCTCATACTTTTCAAGAATTATTGAGGCTGCTGCTAAATGATGTCTGGACTGGAAGAACCCATTTTGTTCAGCAAACACCTGAGATAATGTTGCCGAGCTTAAAGACCAATCAATGGGTTCATAATCTGAATATTGAAGTTGTCGTCTCAATGTGACATGACAATAAATAGCAGATTTGAGATTCTCTTTTAAAGATCCAAACACTTGAGCCAAATAATACAATGTCAAAGTATATGCTTTTTCAAGTAACATAAAATCACCAATAAACGCCTCACCAGAGTTACTATTTCCATGATCGATAGTCAGAGGCATTTGTAAAGTACATTTAAATGTCTCATACAACTCTTTAGACTTGAGTAAAAAACTCTTTGCTTTCTCAGGCTCCTCTCTATTGGACCACAGAATACCTAAGTTATTATAGACATTTATTAATGTTGTTACCATTTCCGGCTTACAATTACCGCTGTCCTGTGTTAATAGATCCACTGCTTCCATTAATACTTTCTCGCTGGAAGAAAAATCTTCGGTTTCCATATCAATAATTCCAATGTCCATTAACACAGTTCCTAGCATGGCCTCAAACTTACTGCGGTCTAAATTATCCCTCTTTGCCACATTGGTAAGACAGTCGCGCATATTATTCAATAGTTCTTTAGCTTTGTATTTAGATAAATAAGGCTCATTCTCCGGGTCATGGTTGCTATCTACGTCTAACAACTTGCGTACTTTACCATAATTCTCTTTAAAATCCTTAATAACCTCAACTTCTGTCATTTCTGTTGTCTCAATCATATTTTAAATAGGATTATCTTATTGTAATTTAAAGTATTTTTAGTTTATAAATCAAGTACCATATAATTTTCAATTGCATCCATTTAAAATTAATATTTATTTTCTCACGTGTAGATTATTCAGTACACCTAAATTTTATTTAGATTTGAATTTAGTATAAAAGAAAATAGTTAAGACTATTAATTTTCTTCAATAATGAATAGAAATCATTAGTAATTAGAAATCAGTAATATTATGGTGTAGATTAGACACAACAGAGAGCACAGGATACTTTGAATAGTTTGAATTTTAGATATGTCAATTACTGTCAATATCTAAACAAAGTGGTTATTTGCCCAGTATAATATATTAAAATATGTACATCGGGCACAAATTAAATGAAGTAAAGAATTAAAAATTATGGCGAGATTCCCTCGGTGTGTACCCAATATCAATAGATTATTATATTATTGTTGCTCTTGCAAACCGTACTACTTATTTCGCTTCTACGACTCTTGACTGGTTCAAATCACAAACCCATCGATTTGAATCCGGTACAATTAAGAATTATAATAAGAAATATCTGTATGATTTAAAATTTAGCGTATTTTAGTCTCTGCTGTTACGAGATTACAATTGCACGAAAGGAAATTAATGAAGTCTGCTGGCGTCATTGCTAGCAGTGTACCATGTAGATAATTTTAGTGGATACATAAATATGTATCCACTAAAATGTAAATGCGTAATATGTCAACCTTATATGCACTTAATGTTAGAATGATTTGTGAGCTTATTCCAGAGACAGCCGATATCGCCAATACAGAGATATTAAAATATATAATGATCTTTAAATAGACAGACAGATAACAATAATAATTTAAATTGAGATGTTATATTTTTTATTATTGTTAACGGAACGGTCCACCTGCCTGCGATAAAGGTTTGCGCTGGCAGGGCCTTGGGCACTGGAGGATGATAAAATGAACATGAGGTCAGGTCATTATCCCAAAGTGGCGAATTCACGAGAAATTAATGGTTTCCAAGGAGAATGTCGGACCTCCACGTGGAGGTCAACCTGACATGGTACATTTCTAGGTTCGCAGTCAACATTACTAATAATTCTTTTCTCGCCGTTGTGTTATTATTACATCAGGCAAACTACGAGCACAATAGCATTCAAATCAGAGAAGCGATCAATGACATGGATGGACATGAATAGGATAGACAGCAACGGTCTCAAGTAAATTATATTCGCATACAAAATGTTTATCTATACGTATAATAAATAAAAATCACGGGATCTTACCACTTTTTATATTTTATTTGCTGAGTTCCCGATATTTCGGCAGTATTTCAACCACCATGATCATGGGTGAACTGAATATCGGGAACTCAGCAGATAAATAGAAGTCGAGGTAATATCCCGTGATTTTTACTAATATGTATAAATAATGAGCGCGTCAAATTTAAAACAGTATAAAATGTTTATCGTTATATCAAATTAAATTTCCGTTGTAATACTCCTTGACAGCGTCAATATAATCGCGTTACTGTCATATGACGTCATTTTCATTGACTATCATACGAAAATATTTAGTAAGTTACATAATTACCCAGTCACAATTTAAAGTATGATATCTTTAATGTATGATAAATGACGAACTACCAATCTTTAAGTTAGTGTTCTACGGATACGGAAGTCACAAATACTACTAAACTATTATGAATTACCTACTAGCTGTTACCCGCGACTTCATTCTACCCACCGGTCACAATGTAAACTATTTTATCATTAATAAATGATAAACGACAGGATGGATCTACCAATTTGTAAATTAGTGGTCTACGGATACGGAAGTGACAAATACATAGTACTAAACTATTTTGAATTACTAGCTGTTACCCGCGACTTAAATCGCATGAAATTTACCTATCTTTATTAATATCAATAGAAGTAACCTAAATTACCCTTAACATTAGCTATCTAAAACTGAAAGTCCCGTAAAAATCGGTCCACCCGTTTCAGAGATTAACAAGAAAAAAAGTGAAACAAAACTTTTTTTTTTATGTATTTACTTTCATATGCATTTAGTAAAAAGCAAAGAGATTCTTCATATGTATAGATATATGAGTAAGATTCGTGATTATAATTATAGTAGGTAGCTATTGATATCTTTATTCATTTGTTATCGTATTTATTAGCTCGTTGGCAAAAATATTATAGAAAAGAAAAAAAGGAAAACTAGGTCTGTGTCTCAAGGAAATGAGACCCTGATCGATCTCTTAGGGACGTTTTATGGGGGTAACAAAGGCCTTATTCAGCAGTGGATGTTTTGCAGGCTGAAATGATAATGATGACGAGGATCATGGGTTGAATTATCAATAAGTAACTCAACTATAATAAGGCCTCCCAAAACAACCTGACGAGAAAAAAAGAGGTGCTATATAGATTTTATACACAGGCGCTGCAAGTAGTAGGCCCTGCAAACATCCACCTAGGGGGGAAAGGGATTGTTAGTAATGTGGATTGATAACCCCATTGCTAACAATGTACCATGTCAGGTCGACCTCACCTCAATTTGTCACGATGGGCTAACTGACCTGACCTCATGTTCATCTTATCATCCTCCACTGTTGCCCCGCCAGCGTAAACCGTTAGCGCAGGCGGGTGCAACATTCCATTATCATCTACAAAAAAAAAAACATCCACCTAAAGTTACTAACTTTCGCATTTATAGTAAAAATACGCATAATAATAAAAGTATAAAAACAAAAAAATTTGCACTGTTTTATTTATTTAAGTTCCACAGTATACAACCCATTGTAAATGGGTAGATGCATACAAGTCATGGTATAATTCCCTTATACATTAGAAAGTAAATAAATAATAATCAATCATAGCATAATTATTTACATTGTACTATTAAAAACCTTATCATAAAAAGAATTCACATATAAAAAGGCCCCATGGGGTACAGTCACACATTCATTCATAACGTCTAGCCAAATTATTCTAATTAAAAACATTAAATAAAATAATTAAAATGATAGTTTTCCTGAATAAGGGAAATATACAAGTGGTGCAGGATTCGCTCATTACTCCCTACAGAACTGTGAAACAGTTCATTTCTGTTCAATTATGATTAGTCATACAAGGAAAATATGCTTTTATATACTTTGAATTTATAACAATTCTATGATTCAATTTCTGTATATAAATATAAATGCTAAAACATAACATAACTTCTTTGTACCCACAAATCCCACACCACAATATGACAAATGAAACATTACATGTTCAACATACAACAACATAAATGTATTTATTATACTTAATTCAATGTAAACATTATAATTATTCTTCACAATTTAATATTAATTTGCCATTTAATTCAGTTACAGAAAATTATTTCAATTACTTTTCATTCTTATTAATTAATATAAAATTACAGCACATTACTGCACTGTCAGTCTATATGTTCAACATCTGCTAAAGTAAAATCAGACTGACTCAGTGCTATGTGATAATAAGAGCCATCATTTGAGATGACAATCAGAGCATACTTGCGCCAGCGCTAGTGAGTGCTTCATGAAAGTACCAATAGGTTCTTCACAGCAATTTATTATTTATAAGTCAAATATTAATAAGTAATTTTGTTACTCCTGGGATACTTTGTCCCTAGGAATATGTAAGGAAAACTGCATGTTTATATGTCAATGTCCACTCGATTTATAAACTTGTAATGAAGTGTTATAAGAAACAGTGCATACTACTTGACAATTGGCATTGCCAAAATGCATGTATTAGGAGCCTGTATCTGGTTCTTGGTCTTCTGTAGAAAGAGCTCGGGGAGGCGGTGTGTGAGCATTTAACTGGGAGAATACCTCTTTTTCTCCTAATGCGAGGGGATCAGGCTGCGCTGCTGGTGATGGAGCATAGACCATCATAGGTGATGGTGATGCTGGACGCACAACCCCAGCACCAGAAGCCTCCTGTTCCTCTAAAAACCTGTCCATATAATCAGTGTGTCCCGGGTGTAATGTGTATTTCTTTTTCTCCAAACGTGCTTTATTTGCAAATATATCATGGCGTTCTGTCTTTTTCCATATATAATAAAACTGGACAAGTTCTCCGACTGATCGCGTCCGTACTTTGTTCTGTCTTATTAGGTGAAAATCCTTCCCATGTGCTTTGAGACCATTTTCAAAGTTGCGACATTCCTCCTCTGACCATAAACTGGCATGTGCAGGAGTTTGCGCTGATATCCGCCTTCTTCTTAATGCCTCTTCTACATTGTGACCACATTGCTGAAGCAGAAATAAGGCCTCTTCATCATCTCTTAACTGTTTCCCCCGGGGGACAGCTTCTACACCCAAACCAGAGTTCATTGCACAAATCTTTTTCATATATTCTTCAATAACTTTTTCATCCAAAACAGTTGGATTCCAAAGTAACTTGTCCTCGTTTTCATAAGGTAATGCATCATCATAACTACATAAACCTTCTGGTATCACAGCCTGGTAGTCACTACCTACCATTATAGTTTTCTTCCAATCATCCTCATCTGGACTATAATCATAATCGTCTTCTTCTTCTGAAGGTGGCCTGGAACCTGACCTAAGACAACGTGTAGCTTCTGGATTGGCAGTCTCGGTATACAATTGCTGCAATGCTGATTCATTCTTTTCATTTTCCTCTGGTACCACTTCTGGAATTTGTTCAGGTGCTGGCTTATCCATGCTTCTGTCGTATCCGTATAGCGCCAGTAGTTCCTCTAAAGGCATATCACCTTCTCTTTGCAAACTATTAAGTTCGGCTTTGGGATCCTGTTGCTCGCCCGCAGCCAATGCTTCTTCTTCGTCTAGAGTTCTTTCGTCGTCAAAATCATTTACCATCATATCAACAGTAGGCTCAAAGAGAGACTTATCGTTCCCCACGTCCATGCTCGCATCGTGCTCGTTTACATTGGCTACCAACGCGCAATCTGACATGACTACTGCAATGCCTCTTTATTGTATCATATCACCAAAACATGGCACATACTTCATATGATCTTCAGCTATCCGGTAGTGTAAAACATTAAAATAAATAAATAGCACTAAAAATAAACATTAGTTATTATTTTTTAATAAAATAAGACAGACAAAACAAAAATATTTTGACACGAAATCAACCATATCAAGTAGAGGCACAGATTCTCTTCATTTTTTTTTTTTTTTTTCCCATATTCGTCCATCTCCTTTTCAGTGATGGAACAGGCAAAGATCCTTAGACCGTACAGCCTAGTCTACTTTTAAACTTCTTCATATTTGAACAAGTGATGAGGCCAAAGGCCAATTCTTATGTATGTTTATTTTTTGTTTTCATTCGTGTTCAAAATTTAAGTCTTATCCGTAGTCCATATCCTTGTATCAATTATTTAAAGTTTTATCGATATCGAGGTAACGTATAAATATATAGGTATATATGTTTCAAAATTAGTTAGCATGTCTTGGATGTCGCGCGGGATTTTTTCCGGTTTCTTGTAAATGTTCAGTAAATTATCAATAAAGACCAAGCGTTGAATATTATAAGCGGAACATTCGAAAAATATGTGATTTAGGGTCTGACTGCTGTTATTGCACTCTTGACATGCATTTGAATCAATTATTTTCATTCGGCACAAATGACTATTGAATCTAGCGTGACCAAAACGAAGTCGTATAAGGAGTGTGTAAAATTTCCGATTTTTATAAATTCTAGATTTAGTGAACCAGGGTGAGGAATTAATATTTTTGTTAATAGAGTAAAACCAATTACCCTTGGTCTTTAGCGAAAGTTGCCACTGTTCAACCCATTTTTGACGAAAACTCTTGTAAACTATAGAAAGAATGTCGGAATAAGGTATGGCAACATCCTTGACAACGCCAATGTCATTGTTGGTGATAGTTCTTGCCAGGAAATCTGCGTTTTCATTGCCAAAAACACCAATATGTGATGGTGTCCATAATAAAATAATATCATAACACTCCAATGAAAGCTCATATAATAATTGCTTAATGCTATCTATGATATAATTGGTTTTATAATGTAGTTTGTTACTTTGAAGAGCAGTTAAAACACTCATACTGTCTGTGACAATTAACCATTTTTTGCAATTGCCCCTATCATCTTTTATATAACAAAGTGCATTTAAAATAGCCAAAGATTCTGCTGAAAAAATACTAAATTCTTTATGTATTCTAGTTCCATGACCAGTTCTGATACTTGGTAAGTATAGAGCAAAGGATGTTCTCGATTCGTTTTTAGAACCGTCTGTAAATATGGATTGATGAGTTGAAAATGTAGACAACTTGTTATAAACTTCTTGTTTGGTCCTTAACTCAGAGTCAATTACAATATTAATATTTGGAAATTTACTTTCAAATGGTCCATAGTAACAATTCCAAAATCTATTGCTTTTGTGAATTTTGTATTGCTGATCAATATTGATTGAGTCAGAGAAATCATGAAGTATATAGGGAACTGTTTTAGAATTAGAAAGGGGAAATAAAGAAGTAATATGTTTGAGCTTTTGTAAGAGTGGGTCTTCAGAAAAGGATAATAATTTTAAGATGAATCTTTGTTTTAAGTACCAGAATCTCAGGTTTAATGGTGGTATACAGCACTCTACTTGTAAGGAATTTATAGGGGTTGTTTTCATTGCACCAGTTATGTATCTTAAATTATTATTCTGAAGTACTTCAAGTTTATGAAGCTTGTTTTGGTCAGAACCAAAACATAGATAGCCATATTCAAAGTGGCTGCGAACCAAGGATTTGTACAGCATTAAAAGGATCTTAGGATCACATTTATATAGAGCTTTGATAATATTAAATGCTTTGGAAGCTTTACCTAGTAAATAATCAACATATTTGTTCCATGACAAATTGCTACAAAAAATAACACCTAAAAATCTAACTTCAGCAGTAATAGGTAGTTGTGAATTATTATATAATATTTTAATGTTTTTGTAGGATTTATTAGTTTTAGAAAATATTACTACTTTAGATTTGTCAGGGCTTACATCTAAATTGAGGTATTTAAAGTAATCTGTTAATCTTAACAATGAGTTACTTATTTTTTCTGTTACTTTATTAATGTCTGGGCCTGAAAAGTATATAACAAGGTCATCTGCAAATTGAAGATTCCTGACATGTGGTCCTAAAATTAAATTAAGTTTGTGTATGTAGAGGATAAAGAGTAGTGGACTAAGTATTCCACCTTGACACACACCTTTATAAGAAAGACGAGGTCCTATTAACTGCTTGTTAACTTTAACAAAAACTTCTCTACCATTTAAAAAGTTATAGACCCAGTTTATAATTTTTCCAGGTATACCAATAGAAACAAGTTCCAGAGTAAGAATGTGATGATTGACATTATTGAATGCACCGATAATATCAAAGAATACCCCAATCAAAACTTCATTGCATTTAAGTGCTTTAAATATATCAATATGGAGATGAGTAACACTCTCAGAGGCAGATTTACCTCTACGAAAACCAAACTGGTTTGCTGGTAATAAACAATTACTCTCTATGTAGAATTCTAATCTTTGTTTTAATAATTGCTCAAATATTTTTCCCATGCAGGAGGTCAGGGTTATGGGTCTATAGGAATCTATTTCATTTGCATTTTTGTTTGGTTTTAAAATTGGAATAATACAATCTTTTTTCCAATCGGAAGGAATAACTGACTCTTTCCACAGTGCATTATAAATACATAGAACAATATTTTTAGAGGTATAAGAGAGGTTTTTTAATAATTTATATGGTATGCCATCGAGACCAAATGCTGTATCTCTTCGGGTAGATATGGCTGCATTGAATTCAGAAAAAGTGAAGGGTTTATTTAAATAATTTAATTTGTTACTATTTTCATTAATGTTTGATTTAAATTGGGTCTCGACAGTGTCAGGAGTATATTTCTTAAGAAAATCTGAAATCCAGTTATTTTTATTTGAAATCTGACTATATACGTAAGTTTTATTGAATTTTTTAACGGTATTCCAAATTTTCGAAATGGGTGTGGTGCGATTAAAATTTTCACAAAAATTATTCCAGCTAATTGATTGTTCTCTTTTAAGTATTAACTTTTTTTTGGCTTGTAACCTTTTAAATGTAATATAATTTGCCTCTGATGGGTTGTTTTTAAAATTAACATATGCCTGTTTAGAGTTATCTACTGCAAGTGTACATTTTCCATTCCACCAAGGTAATGGAATCCTTTTATTTTTAAAAGGAATATCAGTTGTAGAGTTTATGGGTTTTGATTTTGATATATAACTTTTGTCTAGAGCTAAATTGAAAATATCAATTAATTTAGTATAACACTGCAGGGGTGAATTACTATAAGTGTAAAGTGTAAAATCTTGTAACAAACTATCTGTGGTCTTCTTATACATGGTCCAATCTATAAGATTGTAATTATGAAATTTGGGATAATCTGAGGATTCTGGTAATCTAGTGCAATTGTTATTAATTACTATTTTTGTTATTACAGGTAAATGGTAGCTACCTAAGGGATCATTATGTACCATCCAATTTGAAGCAAGAGATAAGCAAGGGGATGCAATAGTAAGGTCAAGTGCATTACTCTGCCATCTGTGTGATCCTACTGTAGTCGGTGTACCATCATTTAAGATGACCAAGTTGTTACCATCAATACATTCAAGAATGTCACGACCACGAGCATTAATAGACGAGCAACCCCATGCTGTGTGATGAGCATTAAAATCACCAGCAACCAACATGGGTTCTGGAATACTATTAAGAAGATTACTGAATTTATTTTTGTTAAAACGTGGACTACAATTATTTGGGCTATAAAAACTAACAACTGACATTTCTGTGTTTTTATATTTTAATCGTACCGCAATATTCTGTAAGGAATCATCACTATATGTATCAATTTTACTGAATTCTATACTTTTATGAACTAAAATTGCAACGCCATTATGGTCATTGCCTGAGTCTAATCTAACAATGTTAAAACCTTTAATATTTAATTTATAGTAGGCTTTTAGCCAGGTTTCTGATATCAGAGCAATATGAATATTGTTCTCCAATAGAAAATGTGTAAAGATTTGTTGATTACTTACTAAACTTTGTGCATTCCACTGGACTATTACTATATGGTCCATAAAGAAATAAAAAATTAAAGAAAGAAAGATTAATCTGGGTTTTTTTTATTCTGTAATGTCTCTAGGAGAACTTGTTTTATATTTTCTGTACATATTGTTTTGTCATTGGTTCTATTCAATGTTATAATTTTAACAATTGATTCTAATAGGGTATTTAAAATTTGGTCAGAATTAAGTAGGGATATAAATTGTGCCGAAGGTGAAGTTTTGGTACTGCCTAATTGAGGAAATGATTTCTCTCTAACAATATCAGCATAACTTTGTACTTTATTTTTATTCTCCTCTATTTTCTTTTTCTTAATAGGACACTGTGATGAAATGGCTATATGATTACCATTGCAGTGACAACATTTAGCTTCGTTAATATTTGCCGAACAGTTTCTGAAATTATGATTATTTCCGCATACTGAGCATCTTTCAGCGTTCTTACAAAACTTAGCGATGTGACCATACCTTAAACATTTAAGACACTGCTTTACAGGAGGTATATAAGGCCTCACCACAAAGCGCCAACTATTCAGGTCGACGGTGTCAGGAAGTACAGGACAGGAAAATGTGATGGAGACGGTTTTAGTTGGCTGCATTGTAAAGGTGTTATCATCACCTTTAATACGCCTCATGAATCTGCGTACACAAACAATATTTTTTGAGCTGGTTATATTAGAGTATATTTGTTCGTTCGATAGATGCGTAGGAACATGCTGAACTACTCCAGTTACTTCCGTGGCTGAAGCTGGTATACTTGCCTTTAATTTAAATCCGTCTAGAAATTTTTTATTAACTAAGGCTGCATTAGCTAAACCGGGGCGTTCAAAAATGACGCCGATCTTAAATTTATTCATCCTTAATAATTGCTTAACTCCTTTATTATATTTTTTCAAATTAGTAGCTAAGGACATCATATCCCTATCACCGATTGGCTTATTACTATCTGTACTCTCCATAAATACAATGTATTCAAAGTTTCCACCATCCTCAGGATAGTACCGAACATAATCTGGTATTTGAAATGCCTTATACTTATCCACATCCTCAGGTGCCGATTCCGAGTCAGACCCTAGAAAATTAATATCATCGGATGTATCATCCGATATTTCCTCTTTCTTTTTTCGCTTCTTCCCACTCCTCTTCGTCATCTTTACTGGTTTTGACTAAAAAAAAACTCAATAAAATATAATTTTGCAAAACTAGCGCGAAAAAATACGTGTAGTCGCTTTGAAAGTTCCCGCGCTTTTTTCCCAGATTCTCTTCAATGTACGCTTATACCACAGATTAACGATATCATAAGGTACATATAAACAATAGTAATTAGCCTCTTGCCAAAGAAGAGAAAAAAAAAACAATAGTATTTATAAATGAGAAATAATTTATATGCCTATAAAATGGGTAAATACTGCTGAACACTTATTATTTATTAAATTATTGTATAAGATCCGCTTTGTACAAATATCAATATTATATTTTGTAAGTAAGCATTCGTTCATTCGATCTTTCATAGAAATACAATTTTTCTAGTCAGGAGGATATATCTCGATAGGATTCGTAAGGAACCTAACAAGACTGTAAAACCAGACCGATTGCATACTATTATAAATATATGTATAAATCCTTTTCCTACTATCTGTAAATATATCCACAGTATACATATGTACCTAGAGTCAACATCTTTTATCCTTACACCTCCCTACATTCTTTCGGAACCCGTTAGAACACTTAGAACATATGAAATATTAATGTCATTATTAAGCCTTGGTTTTTGTATGGAGTCGGAATTCACTAAAATAGATAGTATGTCAGAAATTTGTCAATGTCAACTGTCAAAAGTTTAGCACATCATACGATACAATATAAATATATAATTACCGAAAGTACCTACCTATCCTAATAGAAGCTACCTACTGTTTATTAATATTTTTTGCGAAATGTTTTAATCCGAATTATAATGTTGTTTGAAAATACATCTCAGAAAATAAATATTAGATAATCTTTTAGAATTTCAACTCACATAATGTTTCGACGTATAATTTTCTTATTTTTGTTCTTCAAAATGTCGCTATGTTTTTCCGACATCGGAAAGTGGATTCTGCCGCTAAGCGGGGTAAGGATTTAGTTGTGGATTATTCTTTTGTATTACCTATTCGATTACTTACAGGAAGCTCACTCTAAGCCCCTAAATAGTATAGCATTGATAACACTTGTTATACTATTAACTAAATGTACATATATATTAAGTATATATACACAGTATTTATGATCATTAGTCATAGTTTATAGAATGCTTTGTAATTTTTAGGATATAGGATACATATAGGATTGCATTAGTAAATATCTATTGAATTCATTTACCATAGGGAGAGCTGTCTGTAATTTTTACATAAAATTATGTTTCTACTAGGGTTATTAAATAATTACAATAGTACAAGACAAAATTGTGATAGCATATGCTGGTGATCCTCTATTTATTGTAAACATGTACAAGCTTATTTGAAAAGTATACATCCTCAGTTTCATGTCAGTTCTTCTCAGCTAGAGAGCACTCCAAACTGATGGTAGCTTTGACATATTATAAGTCTGTAATAGACCTACATGAATAAAGATATTTTACTACAAATAAGTATAATTTTAAAACATGAATCAGTTCTCTGTTTCCTCTTTATCAAAAGATGGTGAGATCTTTTTGATAGTTCATCAATAATTTCAATTATATTTAATAATTATATTTTTGTTTCTTAAATCAAAATTGAATTCATATGTATTTATATGTACTAATGTTATAAGCAGACAGAATGGATATAGTTTATGAGGATAGTATAATCTGAAATCATTACAACTTTTTAAAAATTCTTCCCATTATATATATTATTCCAGTATAATGTTGGCTATATATTGGTAATATATATTAAAAAAATTGTAATAGTATATTACACTAAACTAAAGATATGTGTATTATTATAAATAATATATCTCGATATGTGTCTTCCAGTAAAATGTATTATTACCTATTTACAGGATAACTGCAAATTTCAATTAGCGAAATCTCTTTTTAAGGATTCAAAACTCATTGTAATATGTAAGTATGCATTATATTACAATAATAATATATCAGGACAATTTGCACTCTATTATCTAATCATAAACTAACCAGAGCTATGGTTACTGCAATAACTGATAAAAATACCTAAATATATTTTACTTGCATACAGATAGTACCCAGACCTATACACACACTCATTGTTCCAAAATCTTTAAGTAATACAAATAATAGTAATAAATGTAAATACATACATAACATACCTGGGAAATACCCAGACCGATACATACAATCATACTCATGAATACAAATGTTTATACCATGAAGGAATCAAACCCACAACCATCAGAAGTAAAGCAACATGCTAAACCGCTAGACCACTGAGTTTCTCAAAATATAACTGTAGTAATAAAATTGTAATTATTTTGTTCAATGTTGATAACAGTTTTGTAATTTAATAATGTATAAGGAAAAATATTCTCATGTGTTATTTTTAATTCTTGTGTACTATGTGTTAATCCAAAGGTTAAAGTAGGGAGTGGCCATATGTTTGGCTACAAACAATCCCACATTAATCTAAAATTTCTAATATATATATTCTGTTCTATATTCAAGACCAAACATGTTACCATGGTAATATACATAGGAAACACTCAGATCAAACAGTCATGATTACAAATGTTTCTACTGTCTGAGGAATTTAACCCATAACCATCAGAAATAAAACGGTGTGCTAAATCACTATACCATAGAGTGTGTCAACATTCATACAGAATGATTATTTTCCATGATAATGGTTGTAAATGTCCTGTGATATAGATATGTGATGTCATATACCAATTTCTAATATAAAACAGGAAATTTGAACTATTAAGGAAATATTATAATTTCTATAATATTTATATATTTAATACAACTGCAAAATATACGAACAGCTTTGACAAAGCTGAAGGGAAGGGTCAAAAATTGTAAGAACATTGCCACATAATTTATAGACCTGAAATGTCAGGTTTTTCATTATATTTTTCATCTCATATGAACCATTTGTTAACAAATAAATTAGTACAATCCCCTTCTGCTTCATACCTGTAATACTTATCTCAATTATCTGAGCTTTATATTCAACTAGCTCCCTATTCCGACTTCGCGCAGATGGACTAAAAATCTTTTATTTTCTCGGCTTGTTCTATTATATAGAACACCCATATAATCATTCCTCTTAAATAACTATTTCTATTGCTGAAAACTGCATTAAAGTGACGGCACTTAATTTAAAAGATTGTTATTAATGTGGACTAATTTATTACTGTGGACCCCTGATGATGGAAAACTTCATGATAAATTCCTGGTGAATTTATCACTAGGCTAACTGATCTGGCCTCATGTTTATATTATCATCCTGCACTGGTGCCGCGCCAGCGTATATCGTTAACGCACGCGGGTGCACCGTTCCTTTATCAGCCATTAAATGAAAAACATAGACAATGAGATTATCAAGAAGCGCTAATAATGATAAATCATTACAACCTCCACTAACGATAACTTATTTATTTCAGTAAAGTGTGATGTAGTGCAACCAACCAACGTTACTGTTGCATATGAGTGGTCGCCGACACCATGTTCTCCAGACTACTTTCATTATTCTGAACAGGTATTTTCCAAATCCTCGTATTATGAAGAATCTATCACAATAAATTTAAAGTACTTAATCATATAGCCACAATTGTGGCTTCTATCCCCTCCATTTTCTTGTATTATATTCCCTCCACTTTCTTGTATTATATAATACTTATGATGATGTCTTTTTCAGCTTCCAAGTAAGCTTTGTAGCTGATGCTTATCACTTTTAGTATTAATTATGTTAGATGGGCTATCAGGTTGTTTGCCATTCGTTACATAAAACATTAATACAAATGTCTAACTATTGCATTATTTATTTATAAGTCAAAAGTAGTGTAAATTAACAAAATAATTGAATCCAGTGAATAGGCATTCTGCAATATACCAATTTCTCAATTTTTCATATAATTACTAATCTTTAATACTGTGACCCTCATATTATAACAGTTGTGAATATAGATAGTAAATCCAGACCTTTTTCAGCAAGTAATCGAATGTTCACATAGAACACAACGATCAGCTCCAGGCGAAAACAATGCTACAGTGCATCAAGTATTAAGTAAAAAAGACATATACACATGTCATGGGAAGGAAGCGATTATAATGCACGACGATAAGGTTAAGTTATCAGACGATGCGGCAAAGAATACTGCCATAGTCACACAATCAGTGAGTTACATACTTTTTTCCTAAAATTGAATCAAAAGGACGTGCGGACGCGCGCGCAGTCTGCGCGTCGCCAGTCCGCACGCAGTCCGCAGTTAACGTCTCAAGCTATCCCATCTGGGATACCATCGTGAATGTGAATATTGTACATATATTTTCTATAGAAGCATAAAATATTCGCAACTAATTTTCTTTTTATTTCAGAAAGTGACTCCCCTTGTGGTTGTTGAGAGAGAAGGTGTATATGAACTATTAATGTCGGTATGGAGTGAAACGAAGTTCAATTTGACAGTCAGTGTCGAGATGGTGGCGCCGTCCGGGTACTTGTCTGCTGCTATGTGGCCTCTCCTGCCGGTATGTAGACGGTATCTGTATATTATAATCGTATCTCAAAGATTAAGCCGGCATATTTAATTTAATACAAAATGCACAATAAATATCACCATTTTACATGAAAAATAGATGATAATATTGAAAAAAATGTTTAATGGTCTATTTTAGTCATCCACGTGGTCTAAAACCACACATGGATCAATGGGATCAAAAATTAAACATGTTAAATCTATTATGGAAAATCTGTTATTATTCAATAAAAATATTAAATATTTTGTACAAAATGTTCCATAGCAACCTGTAATTTCACTGGCTTATTTTATCCTTAAAAGGTGAACGTACCAAGTTGCTAAGCGGTAGAAATAGATCCACATACTTCTAGCGCTAAGATGGGTAAACACACCGATAACTTTATACCACTTTTTACCATAATTGTAGTATAAAAAAAATATTAGTACAGTTCTATACAGACGGGCTCACGACAGACACAGATGTGACAGGCAAACAGCTTGTTTGTCAAAACTGTAGTATAAAAAAAATCAGTGCAGTTCTATACAGATGGGGATACGACTGATACAAATGAGATAAGCTGGGATAGCCATATAGATTGTTTGCCAAAATCGTAATATAAAAAAAATTGATGCAGTTCTATAATGATGGGTATACCACATATACAGGTTACTAGCGAAATGGTTCGTTTGCTAAAATCGTAGTATAAAAAAGAATATTGTCGCAGTTCTTCGGCGTGATGTGCGGCGTGTACAGCGTGGCGAGCGGCGGCTGGCTGCTGGTGTGCTGGCTGCAGTGGCGCGACCTGCTGCGCATCCAGTACTGGATCGGGGCCGTCGCGCTCCTCGGCATGCTCGAGAGCGCCACATACTACGCCGTATACGCAGCCATCAACCGCACAGGGTAACGCTTTTATGTTTTTTTTTTTATGTAAGTTTAAATAATAAAATTAAAATTCTAATTTGTAATATATATTACAAAGCCTTTTTTTGTTACCGGATTACAATTTTAAAACTTTCTAACAAAAATACTGACATAAGCTTGGATTCGACTAGTGCAGATGCTGTTAAACATGTTTGGGGGGGCGCCATTCCTATAATTGAATTTAGTTATTTGACTTTCTCTTATTTACAACAATTTTATCTATCTATTGTGCTATTTCCGATAACTAAGATATCATGTCAATATAATATGTAATGTCACTGCCAGATCTCAACTTTCGCAGTTTTAAATATTGTCTTTTTCTATTTTCAGATTCTTCAACCTGGAAGCGTACATGTTTGCGGAGATGTTATCTGTTGCCAAGAGGGCACTCGCTCGAATGCTAGTCATTATTGTATCGCTTGGATTCGGTATAGTAAAGTAAGTAATTCACAAGGCTTGAACCTTCATTATTTACCTTCGACGCTCCACCTCGGTGGTCTAGCGGTTTAACACACTGCATTATTTCCGATGATCACGGGTTCGATTCCTCACACGGCACAAACATTTTAATTCATCAGTTTTCTATGTATAAAATTTATGTGTTTATGAAAAAATAACTATGTATTTGTATCAGTTATCTAGTACCCATAACACAAGCTTTAGCTAGATTAACTTGGATTACATGGTAGTCTATGTGTGTGTAATGTTTTTTTATATTGATTTAATGTATTTATATGAATAATTTTAAAAATATGTTTAATTCTGCACCATTTCCCTATATAAACTATTTTGCTTCACGGGTTTATTAACATAATAATTTTCGAAAGTCAAATAGTCCTTCTATTTGACTAACAGAACAAAAAGAAATATATGATCAAGTTAATTGGCACATTACAGCGAATAGGAATTTATCACGATCGATGATCATTCTAATCTTCAGATTAGAATGATCGTCAATCGTGATAAATTAATCATTAATTGAATACCAATCAATAAATTAATGATTAATTTAATATCAATCAATAAATAACTATTAATTAATCTAGTTGCTAAACTTTAGAATTTTTCCGATTTTCTTTAATCACTCCTATATTGAAACGAAAAAAACAAAATAGAAATGAAAATCAGTGATGCTGTGTTTAAGTTTTAGCGACATTTATTTTTTATATGTATAGATATATTTGTTAACTACTTATGTCAGAGGATAGATTTGTGTAGTTGCAAAATTACTCGCCATTCGACTAAATGAAAACAAATTGTTATTGTAGATATACAAAAAACCGCAATATTGACGAATATAGTCAAGGAAATCATAACGTAATAATTATTAAGTAATTTCCTATTGAGGAGCCATCAACACGTTACGTTCCACTAATTTTGTAATTATTTACCATCATCTTTGTTATAGATTTTTTTGAAGTCATAAAATTTGCAATTGCTTTTAATAATAATAATCTCAGAACAATTAACACATCGCCATCCATACTCAAGTTAAGCTAGTTAAAGCTTGTGTTATGGGTACTAGATAACTGATGCAAATACACAGAAATATTTTATTTTCGTAAATACATACATAATATACATAGGAAACACCCAGACCGATACAAACAATCATACTCATGAATACAAATGTTTGTGCCGTGCGAGGAATCGAACCCGCGACCATCGGACGTAAAGCGGTGTGCTAAACCGCTAGACTACCGAGGCCGTATTTCTTCTTCAGTCCTTCACTCTTGGCAGAGTGGTCATGGCTTTTATGATAGCATATAGCCTTAGCGATAGAGCTCCACGCAATTTGCTTCAACCTGGTATTACGCTGTACGAGAACATTGTGCAATGGACTGCTGTGTAGTTTTTAATAATAAATTTTATGTGTTTTCTGCTCAAGATCTTATAACTCAAGATCTTCTAACTTGGGCTAGCGATCTGTGAACAGTTGTGGCATCACACTAAAGAATACACTTTTTAAAACTGTGTCTTCCAAAATTATTGGATGCTTTACAGATGGGGCTGTCGTGTTTTTTTTTTATGGGTGATAATGGAATGGTACACCCGCCTGCGCTAACGGATCACGCCGGCGGGGCACCAGTGGAGGGCGATAAGAGATGAGCGTGAAGTCAGGTCAGTTGGCCCATGGTGACAAATTCACCAAGAATTTATCACGATGGTTTTCAGAGGGAACCGCGTGGAGGTCGACCTGACATGGTACACTGCTAGTAATGGGGTCATGAGTCCACATTACTACCGATCCCTTTTCCCCCGATGGGGGTGGGGAGGTGGACCGAATGATTCGGTATTATGTAAGACGTGTGGCGTGTGTCGTGTGTGGCGGGCAGGCCGCGGCTGGGCCCGGCGCTGCAGCGCGTGGTGGGCGCGGGCGCGCTGTGGGCGGCGCTGGCGGCGCTCAACTGCTGGCTGCGCGTGCGGCGGCGGCCGGCCGGCCGCGCGCTGCTGCTGTCGGAGGCGCCGCTGTCGCTGCTCGACAGCGCGCTGTGCTGGTGGGTGTTCGTCGCGCTCGCCCACACCATGCGCACGCTGCAGCTGCGCAGGTAAACCGGCCTGTACTCTTATCTAGGTGGACCGTCTGTATTACGCATCAAAAAACGCATGAAGCGACCGAAACGGTGGCTGTTGTGGGCGGGATACGTCTGCGGAATGGATAGTAGCCTCGTGCAGATCGACCCGACGTGATACATTGCTAATAGTGGAGTCGTCGGTTCACATTACTAATGATCCCCTTCTCCCTTTTCTTGTGGGCTATCCATTAATCGTAATGATTTTTGACCCCTGCTCTCCCCGTTGGTGATAAAGAGTTAGGTTTTAGATTAAGAAAATTGGAAAATTGATCACAATGATCTCATTGTGATCAATTTTCCACGTAGCTAACAATCCTCTTCCCTCCTATGATATTATCCCTCCTAAATGAACGAATGCAGGAACATCAAATAAATAAATAAAAAATAAAATACGATGAGTCCTAAACTTACTATATAACCTATGGAAGACTGGAGCCTCCTGGCATCTTTATCCTTAAAAGGATGATAATGGCTTTTTCAACTACATAGAACTAAATAAAATTTGTGTTACCCAAATAAAGAATTTGAATTTGAATTATTTCTTTTATAATTTATTACAGAAACACAATCAAGCTATCCCTGTACAGACACTTCACGAACACTCTTATATTCGCCGTGATATCGTCAGTCGTATTTATGTTATACTCTATAAAATCCTACAGGGTGCTACCATGTATCACGGTGAGTAGCATTTTCTTTATCTTCATTTGGAGTTATTTTTTATATCGCGTAGTTTAACCTATGATTGAAAACTAAAAATTACCTTTACCGTTTAATAAACTATGAAAACCTTAAATTCGAATGTGTATCTGTCTGTTTGTTATCATCTAACGACTGAAGGGGTCATAATGAAAATTGAAATATATATGTATTACAAAGATGGACATAGACTATCTGTTAACTCGAAAAATAATCTGGATGATGAGAAAGTCAGGGATGAAAGTTTGTGCAGACAAAGTCGTGGTTAACAGATAGTATGCAAAAATTATTCTATTTTACTATCTTTTAAGAACCGAATTACACTACAGTTAAATATATCATAAAAAAACAAATATTCACCATGCTAATTGGGGCATCTGTGACGCAAAGACGTCAGCTTATACAAAGAGTTCCGCACTTCTTTTTTTTTTAATTTACTATACGGTATCCGGCCTGATACTAAATCCAGTATCCAGCCTAGCCTTGTAGTATATTTGTTTCATCTCTAGTTACTACCAACTGTTACTTGCAGGAGTGGAAAGAGGTGTGGATGGATGAAGCATATTGGCACATACTGTTTGCCAGCGTGCTCATAGTCATTATGATACTGTGGAGACCGACCAACAACAATCAGCGGTATGCTTTCACGCCGCTTCTAGACAACGCCGACGACGAAGATGGTGATTTTTTTTGTTTTTTTCTTAATTGTAATATTGTATTTCTGATTAAGCTTTGGGCGTTTTAAGTACAACGCCATCTATTGGTCAGTGTCATAAATTTGTATAATTAATGATGTATACTATAAAAAGCTGAATAGGTTTATTTATTTTGTAAATATAGACTAAAGTCACGTGAATGTGGTTTTACATTGAGAATATTCAGTTTCATGTAATTTGCGGGCGTGAACCATCCAATAAATGTAAACAGCACTATGGATATTCCAAAATAAGTTATACACATGTAAATAATAGTAACGTGTATCGTGCATGCTCGACAATTTCGCTATCAAATATTGCAATTTATTTTAAATTATTTAAACATGACAAAGGTAAGATCGCATACATGATTTTATACAAAATCTGTGAGTTACACGTCAAATCATTAGGAAAAGAAACCGTATTCTACAGTACGTAGACAAGTATTGTTAGTAACCCCATAAAATAATTTGTTTAAAATATCAAGCTAAAAGAGCTTAAATTATTTGACTTGGTAAAGTCATTTAGGCTCTACATTAGATCATCCAGTGAGTTAACACAATTCTTTTTTATTTATTTCAGAAGAGGAAGAACAATTTGTGAATGACGCATATGGAGTAAAAATGCGGGGCAGTAGCATCAATGTTGATCCCCAAGAAACAAGGGATCCTGTCAAGCCGGACCCCAACAGTAACTCGCTAGACTCCGATCTCCGCTGGGTGGAAGAGAATATACCGACCAGCACGTTACCACTGTTAGATTCCGACGAGGAAATCATAAACACAAAGTTCGAGGTGTCGAAGATGCAATAGTTACTTAATAGTATTATTATTATTGTTGTTGTGTATAAAGTATGTACGTCATGTGATTTTGTGTTTTAATTTTGTACTAGTCGTAGTTACCTGCGATTTCGCCAATATTTTTAATCTCCATAATTTACGATAATAAACGACACAAATAAATAAATAATTTTATGCAACGCCATATATTATTTTATTAATCAACAATAATAAATGCAGATTTAAAATTAATAAGAAAAAAATGCTAATATTTCCCTTCGAGAGTATTTTGGTAAAATTTCTTTAGCCTATATGTTGACCCCATGTTTAACAAAATTGTCGACTACACTTCACAGAAACAATTTAACTGTCGACATCGAGCCTGCTTCTTCCCAATCCCATTTATTTATTAATTTAATAATAGTTCAGCGTAATGTTTATTCTTCCATTCATCTCGTTATTTACTGCTTTTCTTACCATATCATCTTTCACACAGTCTTTCCATATCTTTTTCGGCCTTCCTCTGCCCTAACAATTCTTATGATAGAATTGTCTCACGTCATTCCGAACAGCTTTGCCAACGGTTATCACTTTTTTTAGGCGAGCCAAAGGGTTATTTGCCATTCGATACATAAACATCAATACAAATTTCTATTGTATTATTTATATATCATATGTCAATAGTAGCGTAAATGAACAAAATAAACAAATCCGGTAGTCAGTGAATTGGCATTCTGTAATATAGTACCCCATGCAACAAAAAATACCATAACAATTCCTCCATTTTTCATGTACTTACTATTCTTTTATCTCATGACATCTTATAATTATCATCGCATAGAATATTTCAAGCTAATGGATTTACCCCACACTAGGAAAAAAATTGCATAAAACAATGTAAAGTAATTTAACCTTTATTTTGACATTACACATAAATATATTTTGTTCTTTAGACATGATCTTTGGTATACAAAATATAACATTGGAATATGGCCACGTATCTACATATATGGAAGTTATATAAATTCAGTCGCTATACATTTTGAAATACGACAAAGTATATAAATAGGTACATAAACGTATTAGTAGCATTTAAAATTACGTCTTAAATTCTAACATATATTTAATATTAGTTATTTTAAAAATACTGTAAAAATTCATGGAAGTATATAACTATCTAATAGTAGTACTGTCATACAATAATCGAATATCTAATCAATATGCTACACTCGTTTGGTAAAGAACGGAAGTACATCGTAATGGATTGCTGTATCTTAACAATAATAATAATTTTGTCATTACTGACGACTTTTGACAAATATATTTAAATAGATGTCGCAAATGCAACAGGAAAATAAGCATATAGTATATTTTTAAACTTGTAAAATATATACTTACAAGTTAGCGAAAAACGACTACTTTTAAATATAAATATAACGCACACTTGATTTTCATGATAGATACTTTGCGGCATTTATTTTGTCTACGATAATTTCATATTCATTACTTTCTTTTAATCTTAATAAGATTTTATAGTGAAACTTCAATTTATAATCTATAATACATCAAAGTAAATAAATTTAGATAAAAATAATATATTTGTGCTGTATTAATAATACCTTATAATAACATAAAAAAAAGTTCATAAATGCTCATCAATTTATGAATTAATAACTGATTTGTAATTATTATGCACATGACATATAAATGTTTTAATTATTCTCATAGACAAAATTATAGTCATCTGGCTCCTCTGGTATTTGAGGTGGGTCCTGTGGAATGTCTATGCCTTCTGCATCAAGCAACCTTACTTTTATGTCCATAGACAATAAAGTTTCTAAATCAGACTCAAATGATTTACTTGTCATTTTTTCTTTCAATAATGCATTGATACCATCTGTCCAGTAATCAAAGATCTGTTCATCTGGTGCCACAAAATCTAGCGATGTTAACTCTGAAGATTTCAATATAAGAGAGAAAGCCAAGTGAGGTGTAATTTTTCTTCCCTTTAATTCCTTCATGTGGGTGCAGTCTTTTCCCACAACCACACATTTGATGTCAGCCACTGTTAGTTTGTTACTCAACTCTTCTAAACTTGGTGTGCTTTTTTCATCACAATCTCCATAATGCAGTACTTTATGGTTGGGAGAGAGCCGGAAGAAGGAGAATTTATCCTTTGTTCTCTGTGGTCGTGATGCATATTTCTTGAACCTGGTGCCACCAACCAATACTCCTAACCTTTGACGTTCAATCAGTTCAATTATTTCGGGTGTTATTTTCTCCTGCAGTTCCACTATTGGTCTCGCATGAGACTCCCAAACCTCCCTGTTGGTACGTTCCTGTTGCCATATTTGTCGTATTTCAGGATATGTCAGGTGATTGATCTTTTGACGGAACTTGTCAAAACTTTTTGGTGATGCTGACAATGCTCTGCTAATTTGTTCTTTTACAACACTTGATACTTTAACAAAGTCCTCAGTGGTTGCTTTCATTTCCTTCCAAGTCTTATTCAATAACACAATACAAGTGCAGAATAATTCCTCAAAAGGATGGTCATGTGTGAAGAATAAAGGGTGATATGTCTGTCCTTGTTCGCTGGCTGGTTCCCCTATGTGTAATATATCACTGAGTGTTTTAACAAGTTCTACACTTGTCTTTCCAAAAGGACATTCATGTTCATCAGCTCTGCAACTGTTTTCCAGTACAATTTTGATATAATCTTCTCTATAATTTCTAGCAAAGTATACCATACAATCCAGGGCTAGAACTCCTGGTGGTACTTCATTGAAATCTTTTATTGGATCAATTTCACACTTGAAACCAAGTTTTTTAGGGTCTTTGGATAGACTTCCTGGTTGGCGTCTAATTGTTACTTCCATATTAAAATTGCTGTCACTTTCGAAAGCTATCTTTCGTAATTCTTTTATCTTTTCTTGAGATTCTTGCTCATGATAGTCCGCTCTCTGTCGCAATTTAGGTTCCAGAAGATCAAGCATTAATGTTTGCATGACATACAATTGATGGGCCAATTCTGTTCCAAGACCATCTTTAAATGAGCTCTTTGTGATTTCTCCAGCTCCTATAAGATTTTCGAAGATAATATTGCGAACATGTTTGGAAGCCAGAGTTGCTGCAATAGCTTTCTTTTTACTATATTCTGCTTTTGAAAATATTGCATTTATTAAAGCAATAGCATTTTGTTGGATAACACTGTCATGATTTGAATTTTGCAAATGTGAGACAAGACTTGGAATTGTTATCTCCTTTTCAACATGTGATTTCTTACCAGAGCTGTTAACTACAATATTCTCAAGTATAGATAGAGATGACTGAATTACTTTAGGTTCTGGTGCAGTTGTCTGATTGTTGATATAACTGGCAACCCTATTGATAAATGGTGTCTCTAATATGTCCCAAGAAATGATACCATGATCCATGAGCTCCACAAAAGCGGTTAGAGCGAATCTTAAAACATTCCCTTTGAACCTTCCATTTTCAATTGTGCTTATAATAAGTGATAAACCCTTTTTGTTAATAAACTCGACAGCAAATGTTAGATCACTGCTCAAGGTCGCCAGTTTTGTTAGAGACAGAATTTGGTCAACTTCGACCCCAGAGTTTATTTTGGCTAAGATGTCTTGTACTGTTTTAGATGGTGATTGTTCCAATCGCAAGACGGAGCCATTTTTTATTTCATTCCGATTTTTTTCTGTAATATAATTCTGATTATTAGTTTCGGAGAACTGTAGGGCGTAGTTTTCAGCGTCAGGTAAACCCCAAGTCTTGCATAGTAACTGTATAATACTTGATAAAGGTTGACTTTGATCAAATTCTATTAACTGGGGTACCTTGTCGGGAGCATTCAACATTTCCACTGCGATTTTGAGGATTGTGGGGTCCTTTTCTTTCGTCGCTGACGGCATTTTTATTGGATCTGTAGACATCTATTTAACATTTGATGCTGATTTTAATAGTTGTTCCACTACAATTAAACAATTGATGAAAAATAAATATAATAAAGACAGGATATGAAAACACATAAAATACGAAACACAGATTATATATAATAGAATTTTACATTCTATGAAATACTGACATATACTGACAGTAATATACGCAACGCCGGGTACCCACTGAGCAAGTAGTCACTATTATTCCGATCATAATCTCTTGCCATTTTAATTATAAGGTGTACCAAATTGTACTTAAGACCCTAAATAATATTTTTTTTATTTATTAATACAAAATTAAAAAAATAGACTAGGTAATTATGAATATTAAACTGATAATGATCGACGTAGATATCATGGGTCCAATTTCACTCGTCTCCACACAAGAACGCCAATTTGTGTCAATTAATATTAATTTGTACAATTAAAACGCCTATTGCATAATAAACTGTAGTTAAGGATATCAATTCGTAATCACACTTACCATTCTTTCCTTCTTCACTCTAACTTATTTTAATATTATAATAATAATCTATAGAGGTATCTACTGGGTTAAAATATATATTGGTATTGGATAAGATACCAATGGATATTCTGATATAATATTTATATATATAATATTCTAAGAAGTAGGTACTGAAAGTAATTTAGGTATATGTAAAAAAACAAATAACACATGGGATATTATTCATCATTTAGAAATGGCATGTCTTTGTTGTTTACCTACGCCGCCATGGTGTAGAAAGGTCGCGACTTTGAATTTGGTTGGCATCAAAAAAATTGTAAGTCAATTTATATATCTGACTAACTCTCCGAAGATGCAAGCCCCAATAAATAATTTAATTAATTGGAAAGTTGGACGGTAGCGTTAGCGTTGTGCTATATTTAATTCAAATGCATATTTAAGTGAAATGCAGACATCTGAAGTATTGTGTTCACAAGGACAACAACAGTCGACACTGCCTACAGCTTATGTAAAGGCCAGATTCGAACCTAGCACCTTAGATGTATGTCGGTGTAGCATTCCTAGGCCACTGCGCTGTCTAAATTATTAAATGGGTATAGTATTGCAGTCATTGATACGCTTGTTAGTAATATGATCTCCATTATTCTCCATCAGTTTCAGTTCCCACCGTATCAACGTTAGGACGTAGGGTTATTTCGTAGTAGTGCATTTTAAACAATCTGTGTTTTAATAGGACTTACTTATATTTATATGTGTAACAAAAAAGAGTCGAACCACTCTTTAAATTCCTGAAAATGAATTCCAATATAAATTTAGTGATACTGCACATTTTTTTTATTGTGTATGGAGAAGTTTCGAGTTTCCGATGTGACAGGCGACCGTATGGAGCCACGTCGCCGTCGGCGCGCCCAGACGGTAGATTTAAATTAAAACTTATGGGTTTTGATTATAGTTACATACCAGATCAACTTTATACAGGTAATAGTTATTATCATATAAACACACACACACACACACACATGCACAAACAAAGTGTCGTATACGTCGTACAAAGTTGGCTGTGTCTCTTCTGTTTCACATGTTCGCCCTGCGATCAATCCCCCGCCTAATTTAAACAGGAATCGAAATTACGACTGCCTGAGCTGAGGTTTAACCCCTAGCGGTGTCCCCTGACTAAAGTCGTAATCGTCAGGCTTGAATTAGCCTTCAGCCGCTCCATAATTCTTTTCGCTGATTTGGAGTGTCTATATTTCGGTGAACTCCAAAGGCTAGCAAAAAAACAGCTAAGCAGCTTGCTTTGTACGAGTATATATCGATTGTACGTTATAAGAGCATTGAGTCTATCTTCCGGAATGGCAACGCTTGAGTGGTATCACATGAGTCACATGGCATCCATACGGCTATATGTATATAGGCGACGGTTATTACGTAGGTAGGCCATAAGCTTGATTGCCATTCCAATACATATTAAAGGAGACCTCGAAGTTATTTTTAAACTTTCGTGTTTAGTACACATTACATTGTTAACAGGGTCTTAACGTCGAGATAGGTATACCTTTATTAAACACAAAATTATTCGTGTTAAGAATGGGTCAATAGAAGAAAGACCTCGAAGGTTTGAGATTGAATCTGATCGTAATCAAAAACTAAGTCATAATTTAGAATTCTTAATCAAATTAATCCATACAACAACGGTACGGTAGGTTCGCCGCATGTCACGATTTAATTATCTATAAATATAAATTCTTTTTAAAACATGTACCTAATACTAAAAAGTTTACAATCCACAAGTAAGTCGTAAGACATCTTCACGACTTCAAATGTTTATTCAGTACCAGATTAAGCAACTGCCTGCCTTTGTATAATATATATTGTAATAATAATAATCTCAAGGACAATTCACACAGTGCCATCTAGACCCAAGTTAAGCTAACTAAAGCCTGTGTTACGGGGGATGACTGATACAAATAATAGATATATTTTTTTCGTAAATACATACATATTATACATAGAAAACACCCAGATCGATACAAACAATCATACTCATGAATAGAAATGTTAAAAGGCGGTGTGTTAAACCGCTAGACCACCGAGACCGTCAAAATTGCAGTAAATTGTTTTATTTTGTAAATGAACCCAGGGCCACAGGTTCATTTCGAATTCAATTCAGTTTTTTTTTAATTAAACACTTTTACATTTGATTTTGACAGTCCAAATCACAGCGACCGATGGCACATCACAATTCACTGGCTTCATGATATCAGCCGAGGGTGATATGAAGCCAGATCCTCGCAATCCAAGGAGAACAGTATCCCAGTTCCCTGGACACATAAGACCTCAAGATCCAACGACGGCTAGATTTAGCGACCGATGTTTGTATTCTGTAGAGCAAGCTGCTGCTACTTACAAGTCTGCTATTGAGGTTAGTTTTCCTTTTGTCAATATTTTATTTATTTCAAATAGGAAGGGGATTGTTAGTAATATTATGTTATCTGTGGTAATACAGTCCATATTATATAAGTCTAACAGTCTATAATAATAAGGACTGTTGACCCCATTCCTAGCAATTTCATGCCTTGTCAGCTTCTCTCTGGATATCAACGTGATAAGTTCCTGATGAATTTGTCACGGTGGGTTAACTGACCCGAACACATTCATCTTATAATCATGAATTGGAGCCCCGCCTGCATAATCAGTATTAGTATATTTCTAGATTATTGATATTATTGTAATTTGTGTAGTTGCTGTTTTTATTTTTTATTATTTTTAATATTTTCTTTTTTTATGACCTTATTGTTATCACTACTATTATTATTAACGTATGTATTGCATACGTTTTATTCCTTGGGAGTGCATTGGTATTGTACTGTAATACTCACTGAGAGCATGTAATATTATAAATAAAATAAAATAAATAAAAAATAAACCGTTAGCGGAGCGAGTGCATCATTCCATTATCATAGAAATGGTAGTCACTTACTAGTAGGTAGGCTATCAGCTTGTTTATCATTTCAGATAAAGAAGGTATAAACCGGTATGAATATGGCATATATTTTAATAATGTTTAGGTATATTGGCAAGCTCCTCCTACTGGCAATGGTTGCGTCACTCTACGCGCTATGGTGGCAGAAAACGAAGACTTATGGTACGAGGATGGTTCCCCGTTAACAATGAAGATATGCGAGGACTTACGACAACCTGATGATGTATCCCCGCGGTTGAACTACGAGTGCCAGATTTGTGATGAAGCTAAGTATGAGGTGGTATCTTCTTCATCATTTCAGCATATTCATCATCACATGTGAAAAAGTATAAATGATGTATTCAGTGTATAGATTAAAATAATACAGATAATGGGTTAGCGATTTTCTAAAAACTATTTGAGAGTTAGATATATAATAGATGAAAAAAAATAAAAGTAACATATTTCTATATAATGGAAGTAATAGAGTTTGTTACCGTTTCTCATATTGTTATTTTTTGTAATATTAGATATCATTCACGGGGATATGGTCTAGGAATACACACCCACAGTCGTACCCAGAAAACGACTGGATCCCACGTTACAGTGATATGGTGGGAGTATCGCATAGCGCCGACTACGTTCTATGGACTCCTGGTACTTTAGTGACAGAAGGACTAAAAGATTTAGCTGAATACGCCAACACGAGTAAACTGGAAACTGAAATTTTGGAAAAGGTATCTCATTTAATAATTAGGTGTTAAATAAATAGGTGTTGAAATATTTTAAATTCTATATGAGGTCTAATGCCTAAAATAATTTCAGAGGATGAATATTTTCCAAGCCATTTAATGTATGAAAAAAAATAAAGCAAAAATGTTACAGCATTTTATGTACCTTACCTTACCTTGTACTCGAAAACGGGTGCAATTGATTATGTACTTATAAATGTTTTACTCTTGCGAATTGGTGCTATTTGGTAGTTCACACGAATTAATAAAATTGTAAAGTTGAACAACATTTGTTTAAAAAGAGTTCTTTATTTCATTCTTTTTGAACTGATTCTGTTTTCTGATTTAGTGGCAGAGTTAAAAATTTTCTATAATACCAATAAGAATATTTCTGATTGACTATGCTATGGAAACATTGATAAAATAAAAAAATGAAAAACAATTTGCTGAAACCTTTTGCTACATTTTATTACTATATATATTTTTTATTCTTCGAACTATTCATATAATGTTAGCCGCCATTGGCCTTTACAACTTCATCGAGTGATATGACAGCGAGTGCTTGGACTTATGAAGCGGCTGAAGGCCAATTCCAGCCTGACAGATAAGATTAGACTAGGCATCGCTGGGGGTTTGAACCTCGGCACCTGCCGTCGAAATTTCTGTCTCCATTTCAATGGGATGGAGGATCGATCGGAGGGTTTTTTTAAAACAAGCATACGGCCCATCCGACGGTAAACAGTTATCGTAGCCTATGGACGCCAGCCACGAGACAGCAAGGGTGACACGAGCGCGTTGCCGATCCTTAAGAAACCCTACTTGAAAACCCCATGCTGAAATCTCGCGAGAAAACCAGATATCATTCCAGAAACTGAGTCTACCATTTTATATACGTATATAGGTAGGTGTAACACGAACAATAATAAATACTTTAAATTTTGTAGGTTGGTGATGGAGTGCGTACATTAATAAAAGCTAAAGGACACGGCTATCGAAAAATGGGCAATCCATCACTTGCCATATTCCGAACGGATAAAGTCCATCATCTCGTCACCGTAGCCATTGGTTTGTATCCTTCACCGGACTGGTTCCTCGGAGTCACCAGATTCGAGCTGTGCCAAGAAGATAACACGTGGCTCGCAGAGAGGGAACTCAATTTGTTTCCTTGGGATGCTGGTACGGATAGTGGTGTGTCGTACGAGGTAAGATGAGCCATTGAGCTTTATAATAATGGCAGTTCCTGTTCTACTGGGTACCATCGGTATAGAGACGCATTACAAGGCGAAAATTGCGTAACGTGGGTATATATTACAGTAACATTTTTGTTTTATTCGGATAGTTTGATATGTTCTATTTACACTGAAATAATTATGATAATCCAGAGGGATTCAAACTATACTTGATAATAATAAAATATAAAAAAAAATCAGATTTATATACCAGCTAGTATAGTACTAACTAGCTAGTTAGAACACCCGTGCGACGCACGGGTGTATATGTATTATATACATAAACCTTTCTCTTGAATCACTCTATCTATTAAAAAAAACCCCTTCAAAATCCTTTGCGTAGTTTTGAAGATTTAAGCAGGTATGGGGACGGACAGACAGCGACAGCGACTTTGTTTTATGCTATGTAAAGAAGAAATAATTGTAGGGTGAATATTCTGAAGTGCTACGCTACTAATAATTTGCTACGTAATCATTTATTTCTTTACCACTCTTTCAGTCACCGAACATTGAAACATTCCCGCAAGGTGCAGTATCTCGAGTACAAATGAGTTCATATGATAAAAATTCGCCATTTTACGAGATAGATATGAAAGATTTACATCCATTTGGGCGACTTCATATAAAATTAATGAGAACATATCATAGAGAATGCAACGAAGCTTCAGGTAAAGACTTGTTACATATAGCATGAGACTTCCAAATAAGTATAAATTCAAAATAAGAATCAAATGACCTAATTTGAATTTAATTATTCCACATCAATATTCTGGCAAACTGTTGCCGCTTGTTTGGGGGTTATGGTGTTTGAGAGATACGTCTAAAAATATATTTTTGCAAACAAACTGGCACTTCACCCGACAGTACTTAATAAGTAACTGCCTATAGAGTTACATGAACAGCACCGGACACGTACACGTGTCACACACACACGTTAGACGGATTGTACCCTTTCGATAGAGTCCCTGTCCCATTAAAGCTGGAACTGAAATTACGACGGGCACCAGGGGTTAGACTACACGGTTAGACTACGGCCCTTAGACTACAGTCCTATCAGTCAGGCAGGAGTTGCTCTTCAGCCGCTCTATAAATCTTTCCGTAAGTTTAAAGTGCCATCTGCACTCTTCCCCTATCGTTCAGTAAAGCTGTAAAGACCAGTTGCGACTAACAGCATTAGAATTATTCAAAAAATAAATCAGCACGGATGTGGCACCTATCATGCTATGCGTTTCCGGAAGACTGTGTCATAACTCCGTACAGATAGAAACACAGCTTACAACGAAAGCTTCTTGGAGGCTGATATAGATGATCCTGAGGTACCCATGCAGATGTATAAAATCTTTTAATAAATAAATAAATATAATATTGTGTATTAAATTTCAGAAGGGGAAGAAGAAACTCCCTCTACAGAAGAAAATCCGAAAGAAGATCAAAGCGATACTAGTCCGGTTGAGCCAGAAGAACCTTCCAGGTATCAAAATCCAGAACTACCTACCGGCGACGGCGGGTGAGGCGCGTTATTGCTAAATTCTGGCCATTCCTTTATCCTTACTTTTTTACTCATCATTTCCATAACAAAAATATAAACTATTGCTCTTTTCAACGTCGTTCAACGTTCAGAGTCGCTTAAGGCCTCATGTTGTATCCTGAAATTCCATATCATTCTTTATATTTGTATACCTATATATAATTATTATTTATATTATTATTAAAGTATTATTTGCAACATCACTTATTACTTCCTATGCCACGTTGTATCGGGTCTCGTAGAGATCTCTTTTAAAGATAATTCCTCCTTTGCTAACATTATTTCTAATGAGGATACTTATATAATTTAATAATAGATTTTTATTGGTTACGAAGTTTCATACCTCCATTATTCATCAACGTATATTTCCTATTTTTTTGGTCTAAAATTATTTGCCAACTTATTGACGCTCTGTGATTTAAATTCAGCGAAAGTCCATTAGACGCTGATCCGGAGTCATCGGAGAAATGCCCCATGTCCCAGTGGCAGGAATGGAGTCCATGCGAAGGTACTTGTGATGGAGGGAAACTCTTAGGATATAAATGGAGAGAACGCTATCATCTAGTAGATGGAGTGGCCGTCGAGAAATATGATCCTAGTGTAAGTAGAAACGTATAGCACGTCATGACGGCCCCACTTGTGCAACGTTTTAGTACATCGCCTTATTTTCGAACGTCGCGTCGTAGGTTTGATTTCATCGTAGGTACAATATAAACATTTGTATTCATATGATTGTTTGTATTGGTCTGTGAATTTTCTACGTATAAGTATATGTATGTATTTGCAGAAAAATGTATTTCAGTATTTATATCATTTGTCTAGTACCCTTAATACAAGCTCTGCTTAGCTTGATGGCGCGGTGTGAATTGTCCTAGGTTATCTTATCTGTATTGTTATTATTAATATAATGTGTCTGTACACTTATACAAGCACAGTTTTCTTTCCAAAAGTACACCCACAATATTGAGAAATAAGAAAATAGTGAATAAAATATAAAAAAGGAAATATTTTTTCAAATAAACTTAATGTATTTATATTGTTTAATACAATTACTAATTCGGAATGCAGATCCAGCCAAGAAGAATAAGCAAGCAATTTGCCTGTTAAACATAGATGCTTAATTGTTATAGAACTGGCGTTCGGCGAAAAAAGAAGTATCCAAATACTGTAAAGCTCTGTATGATGATTTTGAGAGAACCGAATGTGAGGAGAGCTGTACAGATGATAGTGATACAATAGAAAACACCAATGACATTACAGGTAAATAAACTGGACTAGAAGTGAAAAACTGTACAGTGATGGCTATAGTAAAAAAGAAATATTCGATGGACTATATTAATAAAATAAGAACCAAGCAGCAGTAATTTGGATCAATAATTATTTTTTGCTACAATGTTTCAATATGATTTCTATCTATTATTATTTTATTTATTTGTAGTCCTATACAAATGAATAAAATTAAAATGTCTGTTTGTGATTTCAAATTAACAGTTTATTTACATAAAAAAATTGATTTGTCTGTCTGTTTTATCTATGTAATGGCTGGACCGACTTTGATGGGACTTTCAGAAAGCTGTTAGAAAGAGTAACTTAGGCTACTTTTATTATTTATATATTTAGAAATTTTATTTATTTTAATAAAAAAGTTAGACTCCATTTGGACAAAATCGTTGGTAACAGCTAGTATGTTGATAAAAATAGGGATATTTTTTATTTTAATGTTGGTTCTCTAATTGGGGTAAGTTGTCTTAATCATATTACAATTTTTATTTATTTGCAGCTAGACGTCGGGTAATGACACAAATAATTCCGGGTACTTCATGGAGATCAAAAAAGAGAGATAGCCCTTTAACAAAATATTAATATTATCGAAATACTACATATTTTTTAATTTTATACCTTGTATTATTAGAACTCAACAAGAGTGTTCAACAAGAGTAAGCAATACCTCCAATATTGCACAGCATAAGTGAATTATAGGATTTTTTAATATAATAATAATATTTTATATTAATAATATAATAAAAATATTTTTTTCACCTTTTTGGACTTATTTTTGTACTTTTGATATTTTTGTCATGTTTTCGCCAACGTTTATAAAAGTCATCTCTAATTTTTGTATATTTTCAATAGTAATACTTTTAATATAATAAATAGTTTTTTATTATATTGTGTATTTAATTTTCTACTTTTGAATATTAATATAACGAATAAAGGAACAAAATGTGCATATGAATAAAATATAATCATTTCGCGAGATTGCCACCGCTACTCAAGAAAGTTCTGTAGAGGGCCTATTATTTGTTTTTTAAGTTTGTAGCAAAAGCTACAAATATATATTATATATATAACTTTAAAATACAGTTTGATAATATTTTGGATATAAACAATATCTTAACACAATATAAAACAAAGTCGTCGCCGCAGTCTGTTCGCTTATATTTTTTAAATTACGCAACGGATTTATTGCAGTTTTCAGCAATAGATCAGTGATTCAAGAGGATAGTTTATATAAATAATACATGTATAGTATAGTATAGAACAAGCCGAGAAATTCAAAGATTTGTCGCTAGTATTTTAAAATATGTGAATAATGAAACGACAGCAATTTTCGGTAATTTATTAATATCGTGGCCGAAAGTACTTTTTTGCTTGGCAAAAAATATGTGCTTCCCGCAGTAAATTGGTCAAAATTGGATGCAATTTACAAGTGTGACATTACACTATATAATTGTTAATGAAGCAGTTAGTCTGCGAACCTCAATTGAGACGCATCTGCTTACTAGATGCGTAGATTGACCTGTTTGTGACAACGTTGATACTATTTTGTTATTATAGCAGTACATACATACACATAGAAGTCCATACACATATATAGAAGTACATACAAATGATTGCTGATCGTTATTTTGGTAAGTTACGTAATTGAGTTTTATGGTTTTAGTTTAATAGTCGTAATTTAGATTCATACTAATATTATAAAAGTGTTCCCGCGGTTTCACTTACGTGATATTTATAGCCCATTTGTTATATCCATATTCTGACGTGTGAGCTATATTATTGTAAAGTTTCATTAAAATCCGTTCTGTAGATTTTGCGTGAGGGAGTAACAAACATCTATACGTCCATCTATTCATCCATACCCACAAACTCTCGCGTTTTTAATATTAGTAAGATAAATAGCGAGAGATTAGATTATGTTACGAGGAAATTCAACCACAGCACCGATTTAAGAATTTTTTTATTGTGCTTATTGTCGCACTCGCTGCGCTCGATAGTTGGATGGGGGAACATCAGGGCAGAATGAATCTGTTAAATTCACCAGGAACTATCTACAACCTATCTGGCGTGATATATTTTTAGTATAGATAATGTGTAATGGTCCTATTGCTAAGAATATGTCATGTCAGATCAACCTCCACGCGGTTGACCTTTGGAAATCCAAAATTTGAACATTCTCCTCATAAAACTTTCACTGTTTGAAAGGTTTCAAATAACATTAAAAACTCCTAATATTATGAGCATCCGAGCGAACATGGGGCGGGTTACATTTTTAATGTATATTTATAACAATCGAAATGGTACAGTTTATGTTGTAAATAGTTCAGATTATGACTTTTACCACTCCTACTGAACTTTTGTAATAAAACAATCGACATCATTTGATCTGCAGCACATAATATTTTGTTCAATGTTATATTTTTCCTTATAATTCATCTAGGTATCTACGAGGTATTATGTATTTTATTGCTACTAAGAATCACACGTGGTAATGACGAACTTTGCGATCGACGACCTTTGGGCTCCAAAACTGCACCTTTACCACCCGACAACAGATTTTTCATCGATGTCGTGGATACGTTTGGCGACTTGTACATACCAAATAGGGAGTACAAAGGTAAATTCATTTAGTACCACATAACGAAACTTCTCCTGGCTCGGTTACATTGTGGTTTCATAATCATCCTTGTCATTCATATCATAATCTGCAGTGCTAGTCCGTACATTGAATTTCGAATTTTACTCGCGAAACCACGAGAAATTTTTAATTTATTATTCTGTAATTAGTGTGATTGATAGCTGAGACATTTCAGAAGGTTATGAAATAAGTATTCTATTAGGAGCCTGTGACATTACGAACATTAGTCTGTATGTATTTCCGCGTTTATTTACCTTTTTCAGTTTTAAACAATAGTCAATATATTGCAATGATATGAGAGTACTCTCTCAGAAATTGTAAGATACTATCTTAGAATTTCTCTTCAATTCACTCTAAACACAATTCATTTTTTAGAAATCGAGCCGGATTATTATAAAGACATAATAATATCATTTTACTGGTTATTATCTAAACCGATAATAGCAACATGATTTATTGTATGAAACATTACAGTTCGTTTATACTCCCGAGACAATACATCAACATTTATGGGTTTTACTATATCTGTCCGAGAGGACACAGATGTCAATGAAAGAAACCCTCGGAAACCCAAGCATTTACATCCTGGTCAGTTGATACCTTCGCGTGATGACGACGCCTCGAAAGTTCATCCCAAATGCAATAACACTGTTATAGAAACAGATGTTATGCCTAAAACATTCGTTGAGGTAAGTTTCACGAACTGGCGATTGGACTTAACTGTATTCTATATCACATTCGTAAATGTCATGCAGCTTGTTCGCAAATCTGTTTTTTCATTCGGTAGATTTGCTTCAAATTCAATTTTGAAGAGAAAAAAAATTCTAGGGTCTATATACATACTATAGCCGTAGCCGGATCTTTTGATCTCAAAGCTAAAAAATGTTAGCTAGTAGATAATATCACATAGCATGAAGCTCGTCTTTTTTAAGTTTTATTGTGCATATAGTGTATTCAAAGAACAAAAAATATGCTTCTATATGAAAGATTACGACGCAGGAATTACGTTCATGACTGATAGGAATGTCCTGATGGCCCCACCATTAAAGTATAAGAGAGTGAGGATGAAGTCATGTCAATTAGCCCATTGTGGATAGGTCAATAGGGTTAACGCCCTATTGACTAGGATCTTAGTAATAAGATATTAAAAGATAAAAGATATTTGTGTCATATTCATTACAGGCACTTTGGATAGCTCCATATAAAGGCAACAAATGTGTCACTATATTCGCGGTGGTGGCTGTAAAGCCTGATGTGTGGTACAGCTTTGAAGGTCCACTCTCAAAAAGAGTATGTGAAGATAGACGCAAAGCAGAAGACATGCAGCCGATGGAAAATGAGAACTGTCAAGCATGTGAGGAGGCCAGGTACCAGGTATATCATCATATATTGTTGTCTTCCATTGACCTGTTCGCAGTTGTCCTTGTACTTTCTATTTCTATTTCTCGTTTAATATAATGTAGCGGGTAATTATTTCATTTCTTAGCGTATGCTAAATTATACAATAAGTTAAAACCTATAATTAGACCTAGACCACTAGATCGCTATATGACTGTCGTATTTTTTTTTTATTTAATGAATGATAATTTATTTATTCAGGTAACTTTTGAAGGCTTATGGACTTTCAACACGCATCCTCAAATGTTCCCAGAGACGAGAGGTCTCGCTCGTTTCAGCGACTTGGTGGGAGCTTCACATAACTCATATTTTATTCTGTATAAAAATAATGCGGATGCAAGTGCAGGCCTCAAAATGTTGGCTGAACAAGGGAATACTACCCAATTTGAAATTGACATTCAGGAAGAGGTATGTACCTCACAATATATATTGTTCTTTAGTATATTTTGTGTAAAAAAGAAAAATTAGAACAATATCAATTTCAATTGAATTAAATTTTAAGCTTTATTTCTTTTTCACACAAAAACTACGCAAATGATTTTGAAGAAACATTACAGTAATATAACATCAGAGTAACACAGGCTATACTTAAAAAAGATATTATGTAAATGTGGCGAAATATAATGGTGAATGTCAAGAGTGCTGTAGACGACGATGCGCGGGTCAGCTTAGTGTTCTCTAAACAGCAAAGTTATTTAGTATTTCCTTCTTCCCGTACAGCTTGGTACAAATGTCCGGACCATCATTAAGGCAACCAGTCCACGAACAACCATCGACAGAACCGTCGCCAGTTTCCGGACTAGTCCTGAACACCATTTGGTGTCGTTATCCACTGCTATCTTACCATCCCCGGATTGGTTCTTAGGAGTATCCAACATGGAGTTATGTGAAAGTAAAGGGCAGTGGACGAAGATAGCCATTTTAAACCTTTACCCGATGGATGCTGGAACGGACAGCGGGCAGACTTTTGAGGTATCTACTGAATAAATATGTAACTAAATTAATACTCACACTTAGGTTTACTTTGCCAGCCTGGTCTTGGGGTTTAGCACACCGCTTTACCTCCGATGGCCATCGTTATTTAGGCCTTCGTGACAAATTCACCAGGAATTTATCATGATGGTTTCTAGGGCGAAGGCCTCTCTCGGTCAATATATCCTATATTACATATATACAACGGGAGTGGCATGTGAGAACTGGACCCTGAGTATCCTTTAAGTTTTTAGATTTTCTTGAATATATGTTAATGTGATATATTATATGTTAATGGATTACTTGATAATTATATTTTAAAACAGTCGCCAAATGAAGAAACTTCACCGCCACAGCCGATATCGTCGTTGCCAATAAAAGGTGTGCCTAAGGAGCAAATGAAACCAATGGCCAGACTGAGGTTCGACCTGATACGGACGTATAGCACGCCCAGATGTACTTCCGCAACTATTGCAGCAACTGGTTGGTAATTAAGTAAACTATAATAAGTTATATTGTATTATAATCCTTAGAGTTTCTATGCGAGATCGTAGAAATGGATATCCGTAGAGGAACCGAGTGACCAACGTAGCCCGAAGAATTGCGAAACCGAAGTGGCAATGGGCAGTGCACATAGTAGGACAGATGGCCGTTGGGGCAGTGTTGTCCTCGAGTAGCGATCGCGAACCGGAAGACGCAGCGTAGGAAGGTCTCCGGCAAGATGGGCCGATGATCTGTTGCTAGAAGGCGTTGGATGCGAGCAACGCAGGACCGATCGTCGTGGAGATTTTTGGGCGAGACATTTGTTCAGCAGTGGATGTCTTCCGGGCTGAAATGATGATGATGATGATTGTATAATAAGATTTACATTAATGGCGAATTTATACACGAAATTCGACCACTTAAATAGTTAAAAGGTCTTATTAGTAGGGATTTTTTTTAAATTTAAGTATATGTTTTATGCATACCACAGATAAGATAAATGCAAACTATTTTTCAATCAATTCATGTCCACATGTTTACTAAAAGTTGTCTTAAAAATGAGTAAAATTCTTCTTTTTTTGCATAAAAATACCATCTTATGGTAAGCAGGTAGCTAAGGTATATCTGTTAATTACCAGACTGACAGACTTTACACATAGACAACAACTTCATCTGCGTCACATTTTCTCTATTTTTCCAACATTTTTAATCGATGCTCTGCTCGTATTGATCGTAACCTTCATCAATTAATGGGCTATCCAATATTTAAAGGATTTCTTAATTCAAACTAGTATTTTTAAATTATTAATACTTTCAACTAAATAATCAAACTTTTAGCTTTATACAAAATAAATATCAATATAAATTAAATTTTTTTAGATGATCAAGACGAAAGGGAACCTGATGAGAACCTACCCGATGAAGATTCTATCGGGGAAAGGCCACCACCGCCTACTACGCCTAAGAGGTGCGTTACAGTTCTTATACCTTACACTCTATTTCAAATTCATTTATGGTATTATGAGTAATTGATTAAATGAAAATACGAATTCGTAAAATAACACATTATTAACTGATAGGTAAAATTAAAAAAAAGAAGAAATCCACTATTAAGAGTTGCTTACACCAATGTACCTAATCCTATGAAGGATTCGATCTGTATAGGTGCTGAACTGGACTGTAGACAAAAATATTACAAAATATTAACATAATTCTTTTTGTAATATTTTTTGGCTATAATATCCTAAATGAATAATTGAGCATATTTGTTAATAGACGAATACGTAATGGTGTACAAATGATATATCTAAGTTTATAGGATACTAGTAGTTGATGACATAATGATCTTTGATTTGAATTGATTTAATTGTTGTTGTGACTGTAAGACCTTATTAGTTATGACACACAATTTTAGTAATCGGGATAAGTGACTATTGCTACCCCAAAAACATAGCTAGATTATAAGCAAGCCCGTTACGTACATATATAAAAAGTATATGTACTTACATTTATTTTCATGCTTTCATGGCAAAGCTACCACTTAAACATGTAACAGAAATTATTCGCAACATATATTGTTCTATACATTGTGAAAAAAATTATAGTAGATACAAAAAGTATGGAAAAAGAATATTGCTTAATATTAATTTTGTCTTTCAGTGAGGAACCAGTCACCCCAGATCCAGACTCGTCAGAAAAATGTCCAATGACAACTTGGGAAGAATGGAAGCCATGCGAAGGGCAGTGTGTCGATGGCAAGAGAACTGGATTTCAATCGCGATTCCGATACAATTTGATTGATGGCGTGAAGAAACATACACCGGTTAATATGTATATAATATAGTTTCTCCGAGTGGTAAAGGGGCAAAAATATTACGTCATTAATTCATTTCATCATTCATTCTATCGTTTCATTGATAAGGAGCGTCAACTAGATGAACATAAATACATTTTATATGAAAGAAGGCAAAACTTTGTCTAAACTATCTACAAAATATGAGAATATCACTTATCAGCACTGGGACAAAACGGAGCTGGCCACTACCATGAAATAAATCCACTATTTATAGGGAGTATTAAATCACCTTAAAAATAGGCGAACTCCTCTGAAAAAAAGTGACTGCTTCTAAGCATTGTGACCATAAAAGAAGGTTACATATTCTATACCTTTACTTCACTGTACTTTGAACTTCGATTCCACTAAGAAGTATTTTTTGTTTTTACATTTGATCCAATTAAATATTTATTTATGCAACAAATAAGAGATTATTCGTGATATATTCCCAGATCTTTATTTTAACATTATGTTCTTACATTTTAGGGTTCTAGCAAACCTAACGAAATACCACATGAATGTCAGGGGGAACCTACAGATGATTTTCAAGAGTGTGAAGAAGACTGTGTAGAAGACGAAACAGGTATTTACTTATTAATTTATGTTGCACGCTATATATGCGGCTAAATAGAGGAGACTAAGGTGCCAATGCAAACGACGTTTTAACTCGATACCTATATATAATAATTATACTTAGCACCCATAGTGTGTAGTACCAATATTATATTAAAATATTATATTTAATATTACAGAAGCACCGGATGTTGAAGCTGAAGCATTGTCTAGAATTTGGGAAAATCCGTCACGTTGGGAGAAAAAATAACAAGTCATAGTTTTATATATTCAAATTTACGCTCGTATGATCTGAAACCCAACATAAAATTATTATCTTCGCTAGACGTATATTGTATAAGCCGTTTACAAAAAAAGGTTCAATGGTGTACAACCATTGAACCTTAATCCGATAAAAAGTAACTCATATTTTAATAAGTAATGCCCATCTATTATTTTAAGTATTAGTTTTATACCTAGTTAATAAAAGTATATATTGTTATTTTATAGTTTTATTTCTGTTTACTAAATATTTTATGAATATGGTAGCAATATAAGTACGTACATATTTAAAGTAAAAGGTAAAGTTAAAGGTAAATCATGGTTGTGGCAGGTGCGATGTGATTTAGGACATAGCTGTACACAAGTACATCCTTTGCCTACGTACCATAGCCAAGTGTTCTCGTGTTGATTGTCATTTAAATGACATTCTGACTGAAGTACCTTTTTGCTGTCAGTTTGTAAAGTCTGTGCTTTTTGTGACGTCACCACGACAAATACGGTCGAAATTACTTGAAATATAGAATCCATTACCTTTTTTTTCATATTTTATTTGGGATGTTAATTATTACATCTCAAAATTAAGTCTCCATTTCCAGCCAACATATATTATGCTAACAAAAACTCCGAAACCTGCTTATAAGCGTTTCATCGGGACCTCATTGAAAGCTATATTCTTCGCGGAAGCCTTAGGATTTGCAGTTTCATACGGTGTTTATTATAAACTTAACACTGATAGAGGTGAGTTTACTATAGATTTATGTCAAATCATTCCTTGTGTGATCGATCGAAGTTTGAACGAAAACGCGCATTTACTGCCGGCAATCTACTGAATGAGTTTTACGTAATTTTTCCCTTGAACATGTGATAGACTTATTTCTATCATACAATTTTACTAAACTATTATGATATGTATCATAATAGTTTAATTATACAGTTCATGCTTCAAATTGCAACGTGATATCTATGGTGCTGTTCATGTAGGTATATGCATATCGTGTATTGCTACTTACGATCATGTGGGCCGTTAGCTTGTTTGTCGTTCGAGTTATATAAAAAAAGGAAATTGTTGTTATATGACACACCTAGTACAATTTGTAATTGGTTTAGTTTAATAATTACAAACTTTGGAAAAACTACTCCAAAATTTTATCTTTATAGTCTAATTTCTAAAATTTTGATATTCTTGATTTGAAGCTTATGGCTTACTAGGTCTGCAAGATGTCACTATAATTACAAAATTATATTTTTTTCAGCGTTTCGTCTGTATATGTACCAGAATCACAGCTGGGTATTAGAAGGCTACTATCAACTCGGCGAGAGAATTGGCGGACATAAAACCCGAGATCTAGATAAGCAAGTTTGGAGTAACGAAGGCAAAATATAATCCTGGTGAGATGAGCGTTACTATTAGGGCTGCGTTTTGGGTGTTTACATTTGGAGGCCTCGGTTTAGCACTGTACAAGGTGGTCAAACCTGATGATGAACTCCTCAAAAAGGTCATTATAAGAATTTGGTTTTTGTATATGTAGTGGTTTTCAATTGGGATGTCTCCTGGGCTTCATTAAAGTTATAGTTGAAATAGAGCATTTAAAGGAAACAAACTTAAATCATAATTTTACTAATCTGAGTAACAACACACTTCATATCTCTGTTCCAGTAAATATTATGTAAAGAAGTTCAACTCTTTTACTTTTGTTTGCTTATTAAATATAATAGTAATATTTATTTTAAACTTCCATCGATATCAAATATTAGTAATTATATTCCAAATTAATATAATTAATTGTAAACAAAAATTAATGCCAGTTCTGTAATATTGTTACTATAATTAAAATTTTCTTAGGATAAACTATGGATACATCTTAAATAAGAATTTTATGGACATAAACAGTATTATTTTTAACTAAATAATTTTGTCATCTTAGTTTGAGTATTTTAAGTTTTCAATGAAATTATTTCATAATAGAATCCAATTGACAGTTTTTTAAAGATTGTATATGTAGATTTAAGTGTTCCATGATGCAATTTATGATGGGGCAAATTGATTTTGATCGTTTAGTTTACAAGGAAATCTACAAAGTGTGGATGAATTATACATTTATAAAATGACACACTGTGCTTCCTTAATAAAAGATTAAATTAGACTTAATGTAAACATTTATTTATGTTTTATAAATAGTTTACTGATAGGTAACTTATTTTATTCTCTATCTCTTAGGTTCTCACAGACTCAAATATTAATACTAATTTTGTTCTACATTAGGGACCTCTAGATACATAATATTATATTATTGGTATTAGAACGTTTTGCTTCATATTTGAACTATTAAACAATCAAATTTATATTAGGAAAATGAAATAAAAAAATTCATTAAGAAATGTTAGAATTTTATATTGCGGAACTAATCATGTGGCATGCTTTGTGTTTTGTCTATAACTTGTTTTTAGTGCATAATTGTTTGGTCTTGCATAATACCCTAGAACTACTGCATTGGTACACTAAATCATTCTGTGATATTTAATATAATAATAGATATTATATACATTTTTGTTTTGGTTAAATTCTCATCTTAATATCATCATGGTTTGATCCATTTTGTAACTGTTTATCATTTATGTCATCATTTATTGTATACAAATTTTATGGACCTTAAAATATTTATTGATCTTTTCTACTCTTTACAGTTTGACGAAGGTTCAAAACACACAGACACTAGAAAGTTTTCCCGTGATACAATAACTATTTTGCAAGAAGCTACCAATCAGAATTCAGAATTAAACAAGAAGATAGAAGGATTATTGAAAGGAGGAAAATGAGTGATAAAAACAGTATATTAGAAAGATTATGTAAAAGAGATGCACAGAGATTAGAAAAGATTCAAAAGGCACACAGAGCAAGGGAAGAGGTAAATGTTAGTAATGAAAATGAGGATTATTTTTCTGGAGCTTTCAAAATTAAATCTGAGTTTATTGAAGATTTACTCACCCAAGTACCAACTTTAGAAATAAGTACGCTCCCGTCCCATTTTGACAATATCAAAAGAGAAGTGAATGATTTACAGAAATATGTGGTCACATCATCATTTTTCCTTAAAGAGTTCAATATGAGAAAGTATTTAGGAATTGTTCAGAACTTACAAACCAAATGTTACGAATTGGAAGACAGGTATGTACCACGTAAGAAATTCGGCTTCACAAGAAAAAAACTACCAAAATCGCACAGTGAAAAGCAGAGTTCTTTGGATGAAAATGATGGAGCTGGAAAAACAGATAGCAACAAGTGGGATGACAAACTTTTTGGGTTTGATTCCAAAGAGAATGCAGTGCTAATGTTGGAGAATAATGAGCTCTATCAGAGGGACGTAGCCTTACGCAACTTGAAAAATTGTACCATCGGTCTCAAGGGGGTTATGGGGACTTTACATTTGACAAATTTAGATAATTGTGTTATTTTAACTGGACCAGTCACATCATCTGTCTTTGTTGAGAAGTGTACTCGCTGCAAGATAGTTACAGCGTGTCAACAACTAAGAATGCACACCTCTAGTAAATGTGACATTTACTTACATGTGACTAGTAAAGGTATTGTTGAAGACTGTATAGAAATTAGGACTGCCCCATACAACTTGTATTATCAAGATTTGGAAAAACACTTCAATATGTCGTCTTTAGATAAAAATGTCAATAATTGGAACAGTCTCGATGACTTTAATTGGCTCGCTCCTGATATACCTTCACCTAATTGGTCAACATTGGAGCCTACGCAGAGAATAACTAATTGGAATGACTTGTGGGTAAAGGTGCCATCGTAATATAAATGTACACATAAAAATGTAAACATTAGGCTCAAGAAATATAATCGTTACTGAATACCCATATTTTTATGAGAAGTGATTAAAATTGTCTGGAATTTAGTATGTGATAATTTTATTAATTAAATAGTAATGAATATTGGAGACAATTATACATGTATCAATTGAAATATCTGAAAATATTGATATGAAGAAATTATACGCGGGAAGAATCATATGCTTGAATTTCAAGCAAATAATTGTAATTTATTTAGCATTCTAATTTTTCATTACTGACAAGTAACCTTGCCTTCTAATATAACAATAAAAATGTTTACATTATACAACATTAATGATAAAACTTAATTACGCAATGTGTATAAAGATGTAGTTAAAACATTTGTGCAATCTCGATTAAAATAATAATTCTATAAAATAGATATTTAACTCAAAATGCACTAGTGAACATGTAATATGTTATTGTTAAACTATAACAACGGTAACTGCTTAGAATACTTTAGCATTTATTATATTGTAATAAAATATTTTATAAATGATTCTCGTCTTATTTATTCTGAAATATCTAGATGGAGCAGGTTCTAACATACAGGGCTACTTGTAGATAAAGTCTAAAACTGGTATTCTTGTTTGTCACGAACTGTATCTGATGATGAAATACAGCTTATATTTGTATTAATTGCTAAGGAATAAAAAAAACAATTCAACAGTAATAATTTATTTCTAATATATAAAAGCAAGTTATTAAAAACAAAAAAAAGATAGATTTCTAGAAATCAATACATATTTTGTTTTATTTTATAATTTTAGTAAATACATAATTCATTTAAAATTCGATTGTAACTCGTACATAGATATTATGCCAATATATTACACAATATAGGTTGCTGAATTTCATAATTAATGAATTACAAGTTTGAGGGGAAAGGTTTGAAGAAAATTAAACGACCCATAGTGTAAATTACTATATCCATACGAATATTATAAATGCGACAGTCGGTTTGTTTGTTACTTTACCTTTCATAGAAGTACATTACTTACTAACTAGCAAACATTTTACAGCTACCAATTGAAAACGTTACTAATTAGCGTGCAACTGCGTCTCAGTGTGTAACTTTAATCAGTTATAAATAAGAATTGTTAGTAACAGTATTACATAATTAAGCCTCAGAACAACTTGGTTAAGGTTTGAATAATAAAATAATTATTATGGTAAAGAAATTTGCTATCTGGTTTGATTTTACGACGAACAAAAAAGTACTCTCCGTCTTTAGTTTACACAGGTCCTATATTAATTGAAGTAGCTATAACATGTTTCATAAAAGTGAAACAGCTGTGTTTGAATAACAATAATCCAATTCTCATTATATTTTAAACAATAGTGTATTGACACATGTGGTGTAATGGAGACATGTTTAAAAACATAAATTACGTTGTTATCATCTGATGACAAAATTCGAATATGAAAGGTGTATACTAACATAATACAATGTTTCCGACAACAATGGCTGGTATGATCTGATCCTTTAGCCTTTCCCTGAGATAGAAAAATCCGAACAATAAAAGGTTAAAATTTTTTTTTATTTTTTATATAATGTACTAATTGAGTTTGTTGGTATTTTTTTTTCAGCAATAATTAGCCGAACTGGACGGCAGGCATAGTAGTAAAAAAATTCTTATATAAATAAATTATTTTAATTTTGATAATGATATCTCAAAATGAGAAAAAAACAATATTTAGTCCCCTGAACGAATACTAGAACCTCATTGTTAGTACCAAATTCCGTAAATTTTGGACGTTGAATTTTTTTATTGGATGCAGATGCAACGTTCATAGAAAACTTATGTCTTAGATTTATGTATTTATCACCTCCCTCATGCTATAATGCACAGAATAATAACAGTACAAACATATTAGATTTATCACAATTTGTGACCTTTACAAACCGAATGAGCAATTTAATACATATTATTATTAAAAATTATTAAAATTGACATATTACAATATATTTTACACTAACGAAATAGACATATAATATACAACAATAAATCAAATTTTTCATTGTCGAATGACATATTAGGATCGAATTACAAAAATAAAAAAACAATAAAGTACACTTTTAAATAAAAAAAAAACAGAGTAGAGAGGAAGAATAGAACAGTTAAAAGTTATTTCGTTCCAAATTAAGGAGATACATTTTGTAATGGCTCTCCAAAGAAATAAACATTGAATAAAACATATTCCTAATCATTAATACATAAGTTACTTATTCTATAAATCAATTTTGTAAAAATAAATAGACAATTAAACACAATTTATTTCATGACAATCCAGAATTTATTGTATCAAATATTGTAATTTCAAAAATTGTTTCTAAACTTAATTTTAATACTTTAAATGCAAAATGTAAGTCTCTGGCAAGTGAGCATTATCATGTTATAATTATGAAAATATATACTAATGGCTGGCTGCTATTTACCAAATAATAGACTAATCATTTACTAGCTGACCTGACAGATGTCTGTCTTAACTATGCGCGTTGTACATAATATACAAAGATTAAAGAAAACTTATCGATCATATTAATTTTTCCAATGTTACACAAAACCTATCTTTTCTTTTATATTATCTTAATTTTCTCCTGACTTGATCTTAATTTTGTCCAGTCGTTCACGCGTGATGCCGTGACCAAGGGAAATTGGGTTTTAAATATATAGATTATAAAGTTACAATTTTTGTAAATTCTTTGACTTTTATATATGATCACCCAATTATTGAGATTGATAGATATATAACATCACGCTATGAGCAATAGGAGCGGAGCAATAATGGTATACATTACAGAAATGGAGAAAATGAAATGTAGCGAAATTGCGCAGCGGTCAGCTAATAATATAATATAGTATAAAGATATATATATAAGTGTTGCTTCCTATTTAAAATATAAAAGGTTAGTTGTAAAATACTAAACCGAAAGCCAGTTATTAATTGAAACAAAACGACGAAATAAATTTTAGATAACCGGCAATTTTTACAAACTGCCGGTACGTAATCAATGCAAATCAATATTTATTTTCAGTATAAATATTTACTTTCATGGAGTTCGTGAGTATTCTATTGGCTTTTGACTTGGTATATATGACTGTATAGTTTAGTTAGCCATTTACAAATAATAAAATTCGCATGTTTATTGTGCACAATTATTTCTATACTACGATCATACAAACGCCTACGTGCTACTCCCACACAAAACATGCCGAGTACTAATTTGAATAAAAAATCGGAAGTACTGATATTTTTGTTACGTCTATATTATGCTGTCCATTTAATGGTAATACAATATAAAATATATAAAACATAATACTTTTGACTAATTCTACACACTTTTGTGACAAACGAGGAAAAATTTGTCAGTTCCTAATTGAATAATTGTGTGGTTTAACACAATATACAATTCCATAATTTGATAAAAGTTTGTTAGGGAAATTTAATATAGTGTATCTATATTTTACAAGCTATTTATACATTTTTGTAATATGTATTAAGTATTTATAAATGAACTACAATTAACCGCTCACCTAATAAATAATTAGAGAGTAGATTCCTTTCGTTCCGATACACAACTGACTTCTCTAGCTAATCCCTCAATGAGAAATATTGCAATTTGAGACAAGTAGTATTAATATTTTTTACATTTAGAACAAAATATACAATTTCAATATTCATTTAAACTATAAATTAATGTTCTAATTAAACATATAATTAAATATTGGGTGAAAAATGTGTATATTTTTTATTAGTATACAAATTATGCAAGTTCCAAAACATTATTGCGTTATAAAAATGTTTCCATTTTTAATTATTCAACATCTAATTGAGAGTCTAATAATTCTCAATTTATAGGAATGTGTAGAGGTTTAAGTACAAAAATAGCCGATTACTAACATTATTATGGCTTGTAGTTGAGCTTAACGAAACGAACAGTAAATTACGAAAATAAGGCACTTCGCATGGTTTAAATTTATTGATATGTCACCTAAAGTGAGAAAACATCATAATCTACCGATATTTATTTCTATACGGGCGCTAAGACTTCGGGAACCGTTCGGATGACTCCCGTTGAATTGCGCGTTAGTTGCTACGCCCCGCCATCTTTGATAATGCCCCAATCAAACGAAAGTCGGGGCACGAAGAGTCCGACCTATTCTAACAATATGTGAGTGTCTTCTGTTTCACTAATTTTGTTTTAGATACATTCCAAATTTATTATCCATAGTATGATTTGTTCTACTACTTTTAAGAATTTAATTTTGGTTGAATTGTATTTGGAAATTATTATAATTAATAGATTTATGTTTATGAACTATTTGACAATTGCAAATATAAGTTTGCTACTGAAATGGTCAAATTGGTTAAATCGCAAAATTACCAATATAGTATCTAGATGTAAAAAAGGCAAAATGAGTAAATATTTTAGATATATTTTATCGCGGTCTGAAAACAAATCAATACAGATTTGGCTAAAAAGAAAGTGGAAATATATTTTTTAACGATATATTTTATGGCAATCTCAAAACATAAAATTGTATGTCTAGCTAAAATGAGTATTTGTGTGGATAACTATAATCTCAGCCTCGTTAGCTCCTGCTGCTTTAGTGTAGAAAGTATTTTTGAGCGATTCCGATATCAATGGAAGAAAGCGGAATTGTCGTAATTTTAAAACCCAACTAAACTAAACTAAACCCAACCAACTTTTTAAAACAGTTTTTTGGATCTGTTACATCAGTCTCAACTGTTTTAAAAATTTATAACTTATATAATTATTTATAAAAAGATGACAATAGAAGTTTGAGAATTGTTTCCTCATTGCTGTATCGATAAATATTAGTAATTATTATGATTTTTTAAAATAATATAATATAGTTTCAGATTTTTTAAAATAAGGGAATGATTTTTTTCTTTTTAGTTAGGTTTTACAATATACGACAATTCTGCCTTTTTCTCAAATATATCTTTATGCACTGTACCTTATAAAATTATTTTCTAAGATTATCATTTGCGAATAAAAGAAGAAAGAAATATCTTATTTTCGTAACATCTGCTATCACAGAGACATAAGGAATAGGTAATTTTTAAATATAAATTGTCAATAAAGGACTCCGAATGTTCGAATCACTAACTACCGAATTGTATATCTTACAAATAAGCCACCAACTATATGTGAAGCCACTCTCACCAATTAGGTTTCTTATGTGATATGGTCCACTGCTGGTACGTGTTGTTGGGGTCACACGGGGCCAGGCCCAGGGTCTGCGAGTGCGGCTGCAGGGTGAGACAGTAACTGTGCAGCCGGTGTATGAGTTGATTATGCTCAGCCTCATATCTGAAATCATAATATTAATATGCTTTTTTTTTATCGGACTATTCGAATGCTGTTGGCCGTAGCTGGCCTTTACAGCTTCACCGGACGTTATGCATCAAAAACTTTGTACCCCTTTTCACGAAAATTGCGAGAACGGAGGAGTATAAAATTTTGCATACATATAGTTTATATAGAGAAGTAATAATAATATCTCTGGACAATTCACACAACGCCATTTAGTCCTAAGTTTTTTTTTTTCGGCCTACTCTAATGCAGTTCGCCGCAGCTGGCCTTTACAGCTACACCGGACGTTAGGGGGCGAGAGCAGATGGCACTCTAAACCCGCGGAAGGACTTATGGACGGCTGAAGGCCAGCTCCTGCCTGACAGATACGACTTTAGTTTGAAGGTACCACTAGGGGGTTCGAACCTTGGCTCAGGCCGTAGTAATTTGGATCCCCGTTTGAATTGGATGGGGGATCGATCAGAGGGGGAGTCCTAAGCTAAGCAGAGCTTGTGTTATGGGTATTAAACATCTGATATAAATACATAGTTTTTTTTTTGTTAATAAATACATAATATGTATAGAAAACACCCAGACCGACACAAACAATCATACTCATGAACACAAATGATTGCACTGTGCGAGGAATCGAACCCGCGACCGTCGGAAGTAAGGCGCTGTGCTAAACCACTAGACCACCGCGGCCGTAAAAAGAGTCGTGAAATGCAGTTTTTTTTTAAATTATGCTTTAAAAATACAATTAATCTTTAAAAAAACACACACACTATCATTCTATTACACGACTAATAACAAAACATCCATATCAAATAATGTCAATACTGTTAATTGTCAAATCCGCAAATAGAACCTCTATTTGCGGTTTTTACAATTATCTTGTTTCTTTGCTGTTAACAAAGTAATCTTCAGATTAAGTCGTGAAGCGAGTCTTTGACAATAAAACCGCAAATTATTAGTAATGTTCAAACTTATAACTTTAATTAATTATAATTAATTTCCATCACTGGGCGACCACTAGTATTATTAAATGCTTTAATTGTTGGGAACATTATGTAAATTACGTAACCAATTAATTTTATTTTGTTAATAGCTGTTGCCCACGACTACGTCTGCACAAATATCGTATCGATTAAGTATCATTATTATTATATGTATATAACCAGGAATTAGCAGTTTGTAACACGAAATCTTAAATATGTCATGCTGAACGATATTGATTTAAAAGAACAACCACACATGTTTTCTCAATCTCTCTTTCTAGTTCTTCTTGTGAAGAGTCAGTGAATAAGAGGTTATGGGTGATAATGGAATGGTGCACCCGCCTGCGCTAACGGTTTACGCTGGCGGGGCACCAATGGGGGATGATAAGATGAACATGCGGTCAGGTGGGTTAGCCCATCGTGACAAATTCACCAGGAATTTATCATGATGGTTTCCAGGGGGAACCGCCAACCTGACATGGTTCATTGCTAGTAATGGAGTCATTAGTCCACGTTACTAAGAATCCCCTTTCCCCTCGTGAATAAGAGGTAGTACTAAATAAGTATAAGATAGCAGTAAAATATTTGTGACTTCAAAAGTGCTAACAAATATATATAAAAACCATTTCATTTCCTACATTAAGATTATTAGAATAAAGATTATAATAATATAACATTACCTCCAAGGTCCATCCACAGTTCCTAGCCTACATATGGCTTGCTTCACATTCTCGGCGTCAGCTTCGACGCAACGTTCACCCACCCCTAACTGTCCAGCTTCATTAAGTCTGAACAGTTGGCTGTTTCCAGCGCCGTGACACGTTGAAGTACCTTTATACAATAAAACGTATCTTAGGACTAATAAAAACAATCTGTGGAAATCGTAGTTATATTTAAATTACTTTCGCGCACGCAATACCCGTTTATAACGTCGAACGGACATGTAACGGACCTCTGAAAATTCATATTCAGATTAAATATCCCGTTATATAATACAGAATTTCAAAATGAGAGCATTTGCAAAAATAAAAATTTTCAAAATCTTTATTAATTCACAAGAAATAAATAATATCACTGGACAATTTACATGAGTGTCATTTAGTCTGAAGCTAAGCAGAGGTTATTATTACAAGTGATACAAATACTTAATACATATTTTTGTAAAGACATACATAATATACATACAACACACCCAGACCAATACAAACAATAATATTCACGAATACAAATGTTTGTATCGTGCGAGGAATCGAAAACGTGACTATACGAAGTAAAGTGGTGTACTTGTACTGACTATATGAAGTAAAACTTTAGATCTTAAAGACAAGAGTTCTAATATTATAGAGATATCTTCATTATAACAAACGAATTAATACAGAGAGTTATCTTACCAATATAAGCTGGAGCAGCCTTCCCCATCGTGTCCAGGCATACACCTGTGGCCTTATTCTTAACCATACCCCAATGAACATTCTTTGGCAACTTGGGGAATTTATCATAAACATCATAAGCCACATTATCCATGAACCAAGAAAAGTCTTTGCATTTCAATTTATTCTTCAAGGCGATTTGCTCACTTATATCTCCCATATCCAAAAATCTCGCCATAGGTTCTCTAGTATAGAAGTATTCTTTGTGTTCCGCGTCGAACCAAGTCTCGATGACTCTCTTGTAATTTATTGTAATGAGAGAACCTTTGCGGTTCTTCGCTAGGTTCCCGAAGGAGTACGGCATGAACGCTCTATACACGTGTCCAACTCTTGAGCAAGGCACCCATTCAATACTACCCCCACATTGCCATATCTTAAAGCTCAACTCGAAATTCTCTCCACCCCACACCAGTAGACCTGGATCGTAGGCTCCTATCTCTAAGAAATAACGTCTATTTATAGCAAATAAACCTCCAGCGTGCGTAGGACTTTTGTACGGCTCCGATTTGTGCTTGTGCCGGGCGTTTTCCCGATCGGGAACTTCATTTTCTTTATACAACATTCCCCATTCAAATATTCCTCTATAGTTCGCACCGTGTTGGTACACTGGACGATACTCGAAAGTTCTATGATCGATGCCGTCGATGACGGGCACCGTCATAACTCTGTAGTCTCTGTAAATAGGCGCCAGTAATGGAGGCAGCCAGTTGACATTGACCTCACAATGTGCATCTAGGAACACAATAACTTCACCGGTTGCCTCTTGAGCACCTCTAGACCTGGTCCGAATTAGTCCTTCTCTCTGCGTATTTCTAATCAGTCTTACTTTACCCTTCCACCGTTTTATATAATTGTCTAGGTTGCTCTTTAAATTGTCTTTATCAGAGAAATCATCCACCTGCATAAACAAGTTTAAAAGTTTTTTTTACACAGGTGTATAGTTTATGTACTTTTTAAAGAAAGTATTCAGTTATGATTTTTTATCATAATTCTATATGATAAATGAAAAATACATATGTTTTTAAGATTTTATTCACTATTTTAACAAACAATTGTTTAAAAATAATAAAACTTACAAGCCAATAATAATACTGCTGATCTCAAAGGGGGATAGATATAGGCAGTGCTTAACGTAGTATTTCGACAAAGGTTCGTTATCGGGTTTCCATTAAAGAGGAGCTAGTTAGAAACTAGATATGCTATATAAAATAGTATTTAATTAATGATTCAATTACTGGGTACCCAATGGCGCATAATTTTTCACACGTTCCAGCTTTCGGGTATGCGGCACTGAGCGTGTGAAAACTATCACCGTCTTATTTAAGAATAACAATAACATTTATTTTGGAAAACTTAAGTAACATTTTATCTATGACTCCACACTAGGCTACTACTATACCTGCATCATGGAAGTCGAAGCAAGTGTAACAAAGATACATTAATTTTTGATTACATTTATAAAGAGGCTCTGCTTAAATGACAAACACAAACAACAACTCTGTCAATTAATACAGTTTCAAACTCCGTAGTTGTAAGTAATTTTAATAGATGCAACCAGTTTTTTTTTACATTATAAATGTGTTTGCGTTGGGTCTAAACTCAACTGGTGGAAAATGATGGCGAGACCTAGAATAGACCTAATATGTAATATGTAGAAGAAATTAAATCACTACTGTATTGAAGACGTTTGAATTATATTTCTTTGGGAAAACGAAAGCTGGAAGTGTATCCCACTCTTTGGCTGTGCGAATTAAAAATTACGCGAACTGCTCAGTGCGAATATGTGGAATTTCCACGACATACGGATGAAGTCCTAGTGTTCGTGCAGATCGGTGATAAAAAGGGAAGATCAAATTATACAGATCCTGAGCGCACTCGCCTAAGTGTCTCATAAAAAATACCGACAGACTGGCCTTTTTCCGTCGATGTTCTAACGTCTGAAGTGTAGCTTTATTAGTGTCATTCCCAATTAACATTTGTTATATGTTTACTGTATAATTGTGTATATTACTCACCAACACTATTTCGTGAAGTACATTTGGAGGTGACCTGTCGATGACGGTGTGCACTGTTCTCATTAGAACAGTGAAGCCCTCATTGTGGAAGACAATAATTACGGAAGTACTTGGAAGGTCCTTTGGGTAATGCCAGTATTTACATTCATCTAATCGAGTGTCTGGAATCGTCCTGTGAATACGCTGTACTTATTTTTATCTGCTAAAGCTGTGGCCATTTAAGAATTAGGTGTAGAGATAAGTCTCTCTCTCGTCTATTTCAGGGCCAAGTAGCTTGTTTCGTAAGAAGTGTTTTAGTTTTTGGGTAAGATTAGGTAATCAGATAATATATTATCATTAAGAAACAATATAATGTGAACTGTATTTATACATTACTAGCTTATCCGCGTAACTTCGTCTACATCACACTTATCATGACATTTATTATATTTCGCCCAAAATACGTAATATCTTTTTAAATTATTGCCAATATGGAATTCTGTTGTATAAGTAGTTTCATCAAAATCGGTTCAGTAGTTTTTGCGTGAAAGAGTAACAAACAAACATCCACCCATTTATACTCACATAATATCGCGTTTATAATATTAGTAAGCTTATACTAACGCCAAATAATCAATTCAGTATAAACTATTTTGGTGCATATATTAGATAATTAATTTTTTATGTACTATGGCATTATTTCTTATATAGAGTATATGTATAGTGAACACTTAGTATAGAAAACTATTCATCAAACAACCTAGGTAAACTGTTACTAAAGGCTTCAATTGTTCAATTTTTATTATGTCACAAGTAAACAACATGATTCTATCTTTAAAATCCTGGATAAATTAGTGTAAAAATGATATATATAATACATACATCTCACATAGCAAGTGCTTGTATGACTGCTATGACAGATTACAAGAATTAATAATAAAAAAAAACTTTTACATAAATTTTACACTTTTACATGTGTTTATATAGATTTTAAAATATAATATAATAAATAAATAAATATCCTTAAGAGATTAATTAATAATATTTGCCTTGTTTAGAAAATAATGCACCATATAATTCTTTACTAGTTCAGGTGGCACAATTATACATGTATGTTTAAATGTATTTTCACAGTTATGTACAACTTAACTATGTAACACAACCTAAGATTGCAATAAATTATTATTACTTGTTTACATAATTAAACCTAATGTTACAGTGTAATACATAAATGTCAGGATTAATATGATATTTTAAATACCTATTCATGGAAATATCATCAGAGGCAGCAATGTTCATGCCATATTCACTCTCAGATTCTGCTATGTCATTGGCTCTATCCTGAGACATATGGTAAGGCTTGCCCTCTTCACCAGGGCCCTTTGTTATCTTCTTATCCTTGGGTTCAAAGTTGCCCAACTCTGAAATATAATTTGCTTACTAAATAAAACAAATTTAAATAAGTTGCATTACTTCATAAGGTGTAGAATAAATATTCTTAGTAATTGCTAAGATAAACCTACTGTAGGAACACTAGAAGTGACTCCCATTCAGTATATACAGTAGTTTAGCTAGGTTGTACCAGATTTTTGGTGAGGACATCAGACATAAGACAGGAATAAAGTTTAAGTAATGCCATATATTTCAAACAGTGTTAGTTATTTTATGGGTTGATGAATATAATAAATGGGATTCTCTTCAATAAATACATCAGTTTCCATTATGAATAAAGCATCTATGTTATAATAATATATGAAATTTCTTCAATTGTTAAAATAACATTATAAAAAATAATCATCATAATTATGGATTGGCAAAATTATAAATAAAATATTTAGGTGTATTATATCACTTTGAACAATTATGCATTCAAAACACAAATTACAATATAAATTATTAAATGTGATGAATAAAAAGGTTTTTATGTATTAATGTCCATCATTTATCTTTATTTGAAATAATTTTGGCTTCTACTATAAAGGTCACTAGACCTACTTGTTATCACCTTTTTTTCTTTAATAAAATATATGCTAAAGGAAAATTGCATATACAGTATATACAATTTACCTTTATTGGTAGTACTGTACTTGTTTTATTGGTAGTACGGGTTTAACGTAATTTGTGTTGATAAGGCCTACACCTATTTAAAAGGCACGTAAACACAAGCGTAAAGGACACGTAAACTTTTGTTTAAATTGCACCAGTGAAGCAAATCAGCTTATCAAACAAACATGCAGGGTATAATGATCAATTAAAAATGTTGATTTAAAGCTGAATATTGTGTATCGTTCACACAGGCAACAAAAACAAAGCTTGGAAACAATACACCGGCGGAATAGGCCGAATAACTGTACACAATAACTGTAGCAATTTAATGTATGATAATGAAGTATGTACTTATTTTATTTACCTGTTTTTAATGTTGGGTATACATCACGATGGAACTTATAATAGCCAACTTCTGCTTCAGAAAGTACAGGTTCGTCGCTATCACTCAAATTTTCACTAGACCACTTGTGAACAGCGTAAATCAAAAGTATTAGGATACCACAAATTGAAACTAAACGGATCATTCTGCCGCGTCTCACATTTGTTATTCTCATTTTATGCGAAGTCTTATTATTTATTTTATACAATAATAAATTATTATTGTTATTTCAAAAGATCATACGTATACAAAAGTAAATTGCATCTAGAGTAAGGAGAGAAAATGAATCTTGATTGGCGAATGGTGACGAATTGCCGATTGCCGTATATTCGTACGTCAGTTCAGTTGTGACTGTTTGACTGAGAGACCGAATGACGTTACTGGTGTTTAACTGACAGTGACTGTAATTAATGTCAATAAAAGAAGCCTCGGTAGTTGTCAGTTTCTATCGATCTCTTGTGTCGTTTAATTCAAATTATTATTTAGACTCGATTGTCATAAGTTTTTAAATATAGCATAATATAGTAAAATCTTACCAAATTCAAATCAAATTAGTGTCAGAGAATGTAATGGTTTGAAAATTTACTTTATATGGATTGTTGTCAGTAAAGTGTTTGGTTTGCGCTGAATTCGTTTTCAAAAAATATTTGATCGTTTAATCTTTAGGTATATATTTATCATCATATCATATTTAATAAATAAGCAAAATAATAAACATGGAAAGAGGTACGTAGTAGCATCTTTGATTAATATTCTGAATTGTATTGTATTATCATAATAATTTACGATTGTAAATTTAAAATTATGATTTCAGGTGCACCAACGACGTTTACTGTTGATAATCTGATTAGTAATTGGAATGACAACTTTCCCAACTATCAGTTGACTCCGGCTGACCTCAAGAAGCCCCATGCAGTTATTGGAGCACTTTTCTTAGTGTTTGATAGGCTGGGCATTGATCGAGATGCAGTTATGATGGTGAGAAATTTTGTGTAAATTTAGTTTTAATTAATTAATATTCACATTGACTTTAATAGCATTATGGCACGTCTTTATCATTCCGGAGTACTATGTCACTTTGCAATAAGATGGTAAACTTTATATTAGAGACTTGTCATGGTGTCTAATAAATATTTTACTTTTTCACTTTCAGGTAGTTTAAAATCAGTGTTATATTACCAAGGTCTTAGAAATGTTTCTAATATATTCTAAAAATATTACACTTATCTGTAATCTTCATAATAAGTCATAAGTTTTTTTATTTCTTACTGTTAAGCACCTTATCAATCATCATGGAATGGTATATGCATTACATTTAGAATGCTGATGTGTATATGTTTTTAAAGATAAAGATGCCTTTTTCTGCATTTCCATACTTTTTTTATATTTAATTTTTCCTGAATTGTTATACATTTTCTTTTTTATTAATATTACAGAATTTGTTCATTTATTTGATTTTTCTATGACTCTTTATTGATTATATTATATTCCGCAGTACAAAGTGCCTTGTGACAAAGGCCTCCTCTAATTCCTTCCAGTGTAATCTATTGGGCTGCCCTTCTCATATATGTTATTATCACAGTCAATTTATATAGATCCTAGTGCAAATTTCAGTAATTAGTAATAAATTCAAACAAAATAATTCCACAAGTGCAATGGTATAGACAACATGAATAGTGGCAATAGCCACTCATTAGTGGTACTATGGATATCACATCATGTGTCACTCATGAGACCACTGATGCATTGCCTTTCTGGTGAACTGAGATGTACCTCCATATCCTGTTATATCACTGCTTTAACTTCACTACCCAGCCAAAACACATCTATGAAGCTGTGTCAGACAATCACAAATTAGAAGTGATAGAATAGATAGAAGTGAAGTTAAACTTCACTACCCAACCAAAACACATCTATGAAGCTGCTTTGCGGCTTATTGGTGGCACAATTGTGCAATATGATGATCTTGTACATATTTGTATTCATGAGTATGTAGTTACTAAAAAAATGTATATGTATTTATTTCAGTTGTCTAGTACACATAACACAAGCTCTGCTTAATTTGGAACTAGATAGCACTGTGTGAATTGTCCTGAGATATTATTCTTACTATTATTTCAGACTCCTCCTGAAGAAAGTCGCAACGAGCACACAATCTACTACTGGGATCTCCTGCCAATCATCAACATAACTCGTGTAATCAATCACTTAGTAACAGTTATTCCACAAATGAAGTTAAATATTACTCTAACACAATTCCTACAACCATCTGTGACAACATCACACTCAATACTGCTTTTGTTATTTAATTTGATGGTTTTCAATGAGGACAGGCTAAGAGACATTGCTCCAGAAGAAGAAGAACTGTTCGCCAAGACAGAGCAGGTATGACAGTTCTTTTTTAAATTACCATTATACTTTAGATTATGAATATGCAGTAGAAATATAATATAACTATTCAAATATTATTTCTCCAGGTTAAAGAATTAGAAAACAAAAAGAATAGGCTTCTTGAGATGCTAAATGAACAAGCTGTAGAGAAGGGGAAACGTTCAGAGAGACTTGAGAAGGTAAGGAAACTTAAAAAAGTATTTTTTTTTTATTATTCACTTCAGAGTATATACCTCTATTTTTTTAAGGGATGACAAACTAAATGACCAAAGGGATTGATGGAGGATGATAAGATGATGTCAGTTTTGCAGGGGCAACCATGTAGAGGTCAACCTGACATGGTACATTGCTAGCAATGGGGTTATTAATCCACACTACTAACATTCCCCATTATTAATTTATATTTTATTAGGATTATAAAAAAAAGAATTCACCCAACAAGTGAAGTCACCTGAGGAGATGCGCTTAGATACTTTCGGCAAAATATTTTAGTCCTGCTTATACATGGTGTAATATATTCTCTCTTGTTTCCAGTTGGATCATGACATAAAGCAATACGAAGAGGAGTTACGACAAGAGACAGAAGCACACGAAGAAGAGAAGCAAGAATTAGAAGATATTCTTAAAGATAATCACAAAATAGAAGTGTTGCTTGAACAAAAGAAAAGTCAGAAGGAGGCGTTAATGGCGGAAGTAGATCGTAAAAAGGCTCTGAGAGTGTATGACGCAGATGATATAAAGGCCCAAGCACAACAAGCTGCACAGAATGTGCAAGAAGCTGAGGAAAAGCTGAATTCTCTAAGAGTAACATTAATGCAAAAGGAGAACAGCTTGAAGAACTTGCAGACAATAAAACCTAATTTAGATACAGCCAATAATCTCTTACATGAGATTATGAAACTCTCTGAGAGTTTGAAGTAAGTATACAGTAAATCGTTGACCTCTGTGGTCTGGCATCACCTTTACTCCGAAGGTAACGGGTACGATTCCTTGCATAGTACATACATTTGTATTCATGAGTATAAATGTTTGTATTGGTCTGATTGTTTTCTATGTATATTATGTATGCAATTTTAAAAAAAATAATTGAAGCATATCAATCAGTTGTCTAGTAGTTATACCACAGGCTCTGCTTAGCTTTTGGGACTAGATGGCGCTGTGTGAATTGTCTTGGGTTATTATGATGGTATCTAAATATATATAACTCAAAGGTGACTGACATACTGATCTATCAACGCACAGCCCAAATCACTGGTTGGATCGGGCTGAAATTTGGCATGCAGGTTATGACGTACCTAAGAAAGGATTTTGATTAATTCTACCCTCAAGAGGATAAAGTAGGTGTTGTGATGGGGTTCTTTTTTGTTGAGATGGTGAGTTTACTAATAAATAATATATACGTTTACAGCAGAATAATTGTATTGTCCTTTTTTATAATATATTTACACTAATGTCAATCTATATTTGACAACTAAGCTATTATAAAATCGTAATCGGTGAGGAGGCCGTATATACACCTAACATCCTCCCGCAGACATGAAGTACTCATCAGATAGCTTATAGTAAATGAGCTTCTAGAAGGTAAAGCCTCTGAAAGGGGCGTACGAAAACATCAGAGTTCGTCTTAATCTTGGCTACTCTGGCTATCCCTTCCCACCAGGGGTACCATCTTTCCACCCAACCTCCCCTCCACCAAGTAGGGTCCGGTGGCTTAAATTTCCAGCTGGTATGCTGGTCTTGAACTAGATGAAATAGAATTACACTACTCGATGGTAATATTATTAAATGTCTAAAATTTCTATTTTCCTCTTTAATCAGAATTAGTTTAGTTTTCATTCTTGTCATACCCTTTTCATCTGTAAAAATAGTCTTGTTTTTCAATTTCTTAAACTCGTCATTTGCTTGATAATATTCTCTTTGTATAATCATTACTAATTTATTTTCCACTTCTACATAATCATAGTATGTCAAAATTGTATCTAGTTTTTGTTCTTCCTTCTTTTGTTTATAGTCGTAAGTAATCTTTTCATACTTCAAAGAATATATCGTTACGTAATTTTCTATCTTTTTATCTCCCTCGTATTTCTTACTCCTACCTACCTGATGAAATATATTCCATTGTCGGTTCAGTTACTTCTTTTATATAACTTTTAAAACCTGACATGACTAACTCGACTTTTTCATCTCTTTCTTTATTTATCGAGTCTCTAGTGACACTCACATCGTGTGAATTCTTTAAAATTCTCGTACTTTTATAATTGATCACACTCTGTTCATTGTCATCTCTATTTGAAGTTCTTGGACTTATATCCTGTCTCTCAGGTGATACAACTGGTAACTGAGAGGCAGGTTGATGTTTATTCTGCCGTTGTATTACGTCTTGATACATATTATCTAGAGTAATCCATTTAATCAAAAATTCATCGGCCGTTTCACAATCTGCGTAAAATTCATCTTCATTTGTTTCGTCGTCATTCAACCATTCATTGTAAATATCTTTATCAACTTTAAATAATTCGTCTGCTATACCTTTAAATATTGAATGACACGCCTTTATTTCCGCAGTATTTGGTATGGGTTCCTTTAATAATTCTGATAACTGGTTCCCAGTCTTTGTGAATAATCGGCGTAAATTTGTTCTGGATTTTCTTAATCTCAACATTTTTGTACGAAGTCACGGTCGCCAGATGTTGTGATGGGGTTCTTTTTTGTTGAGATGGTGAGTTTACTAATAAATAATATATACGTTTACAGCAGAATATGTATTGTCTCTTTTTATAATATATTTACACTAATGTCAATCTATATTTGACAACAACTATTATAAAAAGCGTAATCGGTGAGGAGGCCGTATATACACCTAACAGTAGGGGATGTAAGTTTGTATGAAACTGTCAATTTTATACCGATCAGGCTGAGACTTTGCATGCATAAAGCTACTATGACGTAGGCATCCCCTAAGAAAGGATTTTAATAAATCCCACCCCTAAGGGGATAAATTAACGCGAGCGAAGCCGCGGGCAAAAGCTAGTTTAGTCATATATGTGCATATCTCTGTCTTGTTCTTGTCGATTTCAGCCTCCAAGATGTTTATGTAGAAAACTACATGGCGAAATAAGCTATGTGACCTCACTTAATAAACTATTATTAGAAAGTTGCTATAGTCGAATTCCTACTTTTTCACTTTATTATTTGAAATAGTATTAACTGTTATCTAATTTAAATATGCCGCGTCAGAGGGAAGGGGATTGCCAGCAATGTTCCATGTCAGCTTGGCCTCCACGCGGTTTCCCCTGGAAACTATCGGGATAAATTTAATTAAAATAATAAGAAATAAACATGAGGTCAAGTGACCTCATTTTTATCATCCTCCACTAGTGCTTGCCAGAGAAAACCTTTAACGCAGACGGGTGCACGATTCCATTATTATCCATAAAAAAATGATGCGTTATTTGCCATAGAGAATAAAAATATAACAAAAATTGTTACAGAGACTATGAAACTGGCGATCTAGACTTCGATAGCAAAGAAGGTGAATTGGATGTTCTGAATACAGAGCTAACGGAATTGCAAATTCAACTTGCCGAATTGAAATCGGCACGAGAGGAAGCTAGCAAAAAAAGGCAAGAGAGCCAGTTGAAGAGGCAACAGGAGAAGACATTGGCACAAAGGTTTGGCTTAGTTTTTGTATAAGAATGTACTAACATTATAATGACTCAGATTTAACATTGGGTATTACAGTATAATATGAGAGAGGCTGGGCATGACATGTTACTACTGCACAATGTCAATGAATGAATCTGTAGTGTTCATGTATATAAACAACGGTTACCATTTACAATCAGGCTGGCCATCAGCTGCTTTCTCATTCCAATTACATATAAAAAAATCTATCAGGTTGATAGATGGGTTGCATGTTGATGATAATTAATTATGCACTATATTGTTCTTGTTTGCCACTGATATACCTCTTGTACAAAGTAATTAGCATTAGTGTATCTCATTTATTTCTAACGCCAAGCAGGCTGGTTTGTGCCCCAACTTCCGTTTGGTATGTGGCAGTGAAATTACAGTTTATTAAGGCATAATACCTTAATTCTAAGAAATGGTAAAACAGGAGTGTGACAGACTTGGAAGCTCTGAATTACTAGCAGAAAATGCCAGGATTAGTATATTCAACCCTGATAACAAGTTACTTGTTTCAATCCTAAAGCAAATTTAGGCCTGTGCTTAACAAAAATTTGCAGTATTGGTCAAGCTGAAGAGGTAACGCTCTTACACATCCTATGTTATTGTAGCCCACTCTTGTATAATCGAAATATCTGCTTTGGAAAGTATTCACTCTATCTTTGACGGGTCTGTGTAGCGAACTTTAAAAAAGAGACAGACAATATCCTAAACCCGCAAAAAAAATTCGTCATTTTGGTTACATCATAAAAATTTACTTTTTTTTTGTTTAGTGCCCTTCGTGAAGCGGAAGATAAAGATAAAAAGTGTCGCGAGAGATGCAAGAAAGCGCTGCAGCGCACACAGGAAATAAAGGAGTTAACTACCAAATATGAGCAGGAGAAAGCAAATGGGATGGAGCAATTGACCAATTTAAAGAATTCATTTTGCAATGAGGTAGGATAGGATTTAGTTACCCACATTATTTTTCATTTGATGTAACATGCAATTGTATTTGGTACTTGTTTTGTAAATAATATTAATAATAACTCAGGACAATTCTCACAGTGTTATCAAGTTCCTAGCTAAGCAGAACTTGTGTTAAGGGTACTAGACTACATTTGAATACATTTTTTACCCTGATCAAAACCACTGAGGGCGTCAAAATACGAAATAGTGATACCAATGAGCCGAATCTGATTTGGCTCCTAAATGATTAGATTCACCAGAAAGCAACTATATTGTTTTAAATGTCTACCTAATCGCATGCATACTAGTATTGGACTCAATTCATTTTATTCATTTTAATCACAAGTTTGTACACACTAACATATAATTTAACTAGAAACTTAAGAAATTTTACAACAGAATTCGATTTTTTAATAAAACAGCAGCGTCACTACCAATATAAAAACACATATTACCTATTTGTTACGCTTGTAATGTGGATTTCTATATATTAAAAAATTGTTTATTATTTCATCCAATACAAACAAAAGGTCAAATTTGTTCTCTATGGTTTTAGTTTATAAGAAAACATTACTATTCTATCTACTTATTATTACTTGTTTTAGTTGAAAACAATTGATAGCGCAATTATGAAGAAAGTGATGGAAGTGGAGAAGAATATTGAAGAGAAATTACGCAATCGTACTCTGTAAACTTTTATATAATGAATAATGGATAAGTGATATTTGCTGAATCATCTACGACGGCATGAATAGATTCCAGGTCGGTCCCGTTGAGTCCTGGATGTTGATGTCTCTATTACACTATCTTATTTTTATTATAGTTTTATAAATCTAATAGTTAAAATACTGTCCAAGTGATTTTATTATTATAATAAATGTTTGTACTATTCTATACTATTTTATTTCTATATTACATACATTCTATTATATTTTCTACCAGAATCAGAATATTAAAGCTATTAATAAACAATATTAATAAATTCTACGTAGAAATATTAAATTAAATCGACTTATTTTTCTAATATCAATAGTAGTTATTTTGTTATAAGTGTTCCATTATATTGCTGTACATTTGTTTCAAATCGACAGTATTTTAATGTGATCACTGTATAAACATGTCTAATTGCTTTGCAGATATTAGAAAAGATCTTTGATATTATTATTAATAACTATCTGTTCCCGCGGCTTCGTCCGCGTGGTTATTTTACTTAATTTTTCTAAAATAAAAGTAGCCTAGCTTACTCCTTATTACATCGGCTATATGCCAAAAAAAAGTCCCGTCAAAATAGGTCCAGCCATTTCAGAGATTAGCCGGAACAAATAGACCGACAGACAGACTGACAAAAATTGTAAAAAATGTTATTTTGGTGTATGTAACGTATTTATATCATATGCCTTTAGTAAAAAACTCCAATTTTATTTATATGTATAGATAATTTATTAATTTAAACCTAATTTTCTTAGTCTTACAGTTAATGTAAAAATATAAATGAAAGCTACAAAAATAAAAATAATAAAAAAATTGAATTGGTAGGCTTGTGTAGAACTTAAGGACTACCCGTCCACCATAAGGTAAACTGAGAAATTAGTAAGCGGACCATTGTAGTTTAGAAACTTTCACCTGGTCATTTTACGTCATAATTTATACGCATAAATTCTAATTTATCAATATTTACATATGATACATAAATACATTATATTTTCCCGTTTTATTTATTTTAAAACGTTAATGGAAGTATATTGATTGATTTAACCGATTTCATTTGTATTGAACGTAACAAATTATATAAACATTTCCGGACGCTATCGGCGTCTGATTCATGACCATAATTCGTCCACCACCCCATGTTGACCTAAAAACATCGCAATCTGTTATATCACCCTACATAACTGAGGGCGAGACTAAATCCATATATTATTTATTCATGGCATTCACGATATTCATGATGTTGTCATAAACATGGCTTTGTTCTAATAAAGCATTATGATATGAATTGTATTCATATTATTTTAATATCGTAGATAATAATGTTTAATGAACATTTCATTGAAATGATTCAATATAATTACGATGGAGCATCATTTAACGGATGAAAGACGACTGCATGCAAAATGCGAATGTTGTAATGGATGTGTGGTGTAACAAGAATGGATAAGATAAAGAATGAATATAGAGGAAGTATGAAAGTGGCTCCGGTGTCAGAGAGGTTGAAGAGTAATCGTCTGTAATGGTATGGACATGTAATGCGTAGGAATGAAGAGAATATTTTAAGGTAGGTGTTATATATGAATATGGATGGTAATGCGAAAATGATTCACAATAATTCACATCATTCCGCAATAAGTACTTCAACACATTGTAGGTTATCAGTGAAAAGAAACAATATGTGGATGGGACTTCACCTCGTCCGTAATTGTAAATATGTATGCAGATAATATTATATCTAATATCAATACCACTACATATCTAGATCTAAGTATATTTTTTTAACTTTATTATATTACTTTTTCTAATACATTTAAAGGTGCTTAGGATTAATACTTACAAATCGATTACGTTGAATTATTGATGTAATAACAACCAGATCAACTAGAATAATAAAAAATATTCATGAATACAAATGTTTGTCCGATGAAGTCCAAGAATCGAACCCGCCACCATTGGAAATAAGGCGTTGTAACTAAGCAGGTAGGCAAACACTGGGCAGCGTTGCCAATTTTTTTTCAGCTGACGAGAGACTTGCAAAGTTAAAAAAGCGGGAATTTTTGGAGTAAAAAAATCGGGACTCTTTTCATAAGACTACCGATTTTGTTACTCAATAGGTTCCAAATTCATTAGTATTTATTATTAGCAATTAAAAAATATGAAACACATTCTTATGCACGTCATAATTATTAAAAAAAAATGCTTTTTTGATTTGATATCCCTTGTTGCAAATTACAATAGTTACCTATACTTGCTCCATTTATAAAAAATAGGTAATAATAAAATTGCAGTACCTAATGAAATTGATTTTCCTTATTTAAAGTTACGTATTGATCATACATTTTTTACAAGATCCAAACAAAGAGTTTATTCGTCCCGAATACGTCTGGGAATCCCTCGCCTCTACTGTACTCACAGTATAAAAGCAAGTAACTCTCTCAATCGAAATCATTCGTGCCACAGAGCAAATAATCACTACGTCTTTAATTCAGGCTTCAGGTTTAACGAAAAAAAAATAGAAATGGAAAAAATATTATTTGTTTTTCTTGCATTCGCTTTTGTATCACAGATCAATGCAAAGACATTTCAAAGATGCGAATTGGTTCAGGCGCTCAGGAGTCAAGGCTTCGATGAAGCAAAATTGAGAGATTGTAAGTATTTTGTACTTTTTTTAAATCAACTTTTAAATGAATATGTACTATGTCTTGGACTGATGACTATTATTACGTAAAGATTCTAAATTTCATGTATTTTTGCAAGTGTATTGAGCATACATCATAATATAGTCGAATTGATGTGGGTACCCAATAGTCGTACTTGTAACTTAATGGCACTTCCATGACCCTCTGTTTCCCTACTAACTACGTAATGGACTTGTCGTTCGTGGAGTAACATATTTGCTACTAACGGACTGTTCCAATATGAAGAACTAAATATTTCATAGAAATTACGCGCTAAGGTGCTCTGATATCCTAATTCTCAGAAACGCATAAGACGTGATCATCATAGTATATTTTACATAGTTTTTTATTGTGTGTAGACTACATTTAGCATATTTCATTAGGGGTGTTGGCTGACCTAAAGGTTGAGGATGGTTAGGGCAATTCGAAACTTACCAGGGAGCCATTTGAGTCTGGAGGCGTGCAGAAGCTATTCCTGTGCGCCTAGATGGGGTTCCGATTGGAATCAAGCTGGGGATTGGAAGAATGCGGTAGCGTTACCATGGTCTCAGCGATATGTTTGAAGAGCAATAGCAGTTAGGTTTTTTAGCCAGTAAGATTGTAGCGATTCTGGAGTCTAAAGATTCACTTGACGTTAAAAAAAAGTGATTTGGTTACATGATTGCCATTCTAGTCACGTAAAAATATCCCCAACTATGGGGTAATGGATGTAAGAGAGTAGTATCTCTCAGGTAGACCATCAGTTTGTATGTTCCAATATCATAAGCAAAGTACTTTGAAGTTATGGTACTTTTTTGTCTACGCAGGGGTGTGCTTGGTTGAGAACGAGAGCGGTCGTAAGACGGACTTAGTCGGGAAGCCAAATAAGAATGGATCCAGGGATTATGGCCTGTTCCAGATTAACGATAAGTACTGGTGTAGTAAGACCTCTACAGCCGGCAAGGACTGTAACATTACGTGTTCCCGTAAGTAAATATAATTATATTACAATATAGCAAAGCTATTACCACAGATAACATAATATATGTAATATTACTATTACTCATTAAACGATGACAAACGTACATAGCAATTGTTGTTCATGCAGGGGATTTACATTTAATGTTTGACATAGACCCGTTATAGAGTATACAATGTAAATAAACTGGATTTTATAGAGTTCCTTGCCAGTTCTTTTCAATTGAATCTGTATATTGAATTGGACAGTAAGAAAAAATATTAATACCTACAAAAAACTTGGCGTTCATAAGCGGCTAAAATGTTATAACTGATTTTTTATTTAGGTTTTTTGTACGGATATGTATACATATTTGTTAATAAACGAATATGTAATGATGCATTAATGATATATCTCAGCTAGCAGGATACCAATAGTGGAAGAAGATAGAATAAAAATGAATTTAGGTCAATTATCATTTCATGACATTTTACAATAATTTAATTAGGTCTGATTGATTTAGAAAGTACTTATTAATTTTATGTACTGTGTACTTATTATATTTATGTGTATATAATATATTTTTTTATATTTAATTAGATGTTTAATATATAATATTCTCGTGTCACAGTATTAGTTATTATTATTATTATCAGTTTTTGTTACAAACAAATTGTTTTTCTTCGAAACGGCTTGACCGATCCTAGAGACTTTTTTTGTGTATATTTAGTAGGTCTGAGAATTTTATGATTCTGCCTTAAAAATCCATACAACTAAAAATTTTCACCTTTCTATTTCTAATAAGATTATTTATATCGCAAAATAATGTTTGCCGACAACTAGTTTTATATAAAAAGTTATAATTTTATTTTCAGAACTCCTAACCGATGACATCACCGTTGCGTCTAAATGCGCCAAGAAAGTATACAAACGTCATCAGTTCATGGCCTGGTACGGTTGGCGTAACCACTGCCAAAACAAACCGCTTCCTGACATCAGCAAATGCTAGTCTGCGTATAGAAGAAATGCTATACAATATTAATAAAAACATTGTAAAATATATGTAACTATATAATAATAGTAAAAAAAAATTAAAGGAAAGCTTGCCTATCTCTTCATCCAATGAAATATATATGTATAATTACATTTTTACGCAACAGTACAATTGAATGATTCTTGTATTACAGGATAGGTCATACATATCTTACAATTGTTTCAATATAAGCAAACAAAGAAACCTATATATTTAAAACAAGAAATTTGAGAACCAGTAATTTGTGTCAGATTACATATTATATCATGTTTTTCGCTTTTCATAAATACATAGATTTCAATAGGTAGATTACTTCCGATTCTACTACACATTCCTTAATAGACATTATTACATGGTATAAAACAAAGTCGCTGTCGCTGTCTGTCCGTCCCTATGTATGCTTAAATCTTTAAAACTACGCAACGGATTTTGAAGCGGTTTTTTTAATAGATAGACTGAATCAACAGGAAGGTTTATATATATAATGCATGCACACTCGTGCGAAGCGGCGGCGAGTAGCAAATTTTATATAAATGTATTAATTACTAGCTGTGGCCGCGGTTTCACCCGTGTAACATTTATGGTCTATGTGTTTTTAAATTTGATGTTGAATATATAGAATAAGTAGCCTTTGCGTGCAAGAGGAACAAACATCCATCCATCATCTGTCTAAACGTTAGCCAGTTGGCATTATCTCTGGCTTTTCCACAGGTGGTAATTATGAATGTATATCCTTACTAATATTATAAATGCGAAAGTAACTCTGTCTGTCTGTCTCGCTTTCACGCCAAAACTACTGAACCGATTTAAACGAAATTTGGTACACAGATAGTCTAGACCCTGAGAAAGGACATAGGCTACTTTTGAATGCGATAGAAAGTTTATAAGGGGTTGAAAGAGTTATGTATGGAAGTGTCGTCATTTTTGAAGATGAAACGATGAAACTTTTTCATTTGGCTTTTATCGGGTTAGGTCATTAAATATTTTTTCATTATTTGGTCAAGGTCACTAATTTCGCGGACGAAGTCGCGGGTACAGCTAGTATTATATATAATTATTTAAATAGGTAAGTACCTGTTACTTAAAAGATTCGTTAGATTAGAGAGAGAAGGATTGTTCGTAATGTGAACAAGTTACTCCATCGCTAGCAATGTACCAAGTCAGGTTGACCTCCAAACGGCTTCGTGATAAATACCCGGTGAATTTGTCACGTTGGGCTAACTGATTTAACCTCACATATACATAGAGAACACTTAGACCAATACAAATACTCATACTCATAGCATAGCAATCTAAACTAGACACTAAACCACCGAGTCCATGTCAAAATACCGTCATAGTAAATTATAGGCTATGCTATGATACTTTGATCTTCAGGAAGGGCGTCATGTTGACGTATATATACTACGATTGTCTCAGTCCCTTAGGTGGGCCGAAAGAAAATTTGCTATTCTATAATAGTAACATAAAAAAACTACCGACTAACTTACTAACTAATAGTAATATTATTATCTGTTGTTATAATAAGTTCAGGAGTTCGGACACGAGACGCCTACAGTTGTCTTGTTTCTCTTCATCGTTTACTTGGTTACAAAAACTTTTTAATTCGCCTTCATTCTCAGATTCTTATGTCGAAATAGTTATAACGTAATTAGATATATGTACTTCAAATTAATTGAAATAATAAATATAGGTAGACTATTATGTCTACCCTTAAATTATATAATTAGTAGGTAATAGGTAAATATTATTATCTACTTATTACCTACTATTATTACGGGTAAATAATGCGAGCAGCGCAGGACCGATCGTCGTGGAGATCTTTGGGGGAGGCCTATGTCCAGCAGTGGACGTCTTCCGGGCTGCGATGATGATGATGAAGAATATGTCATTTTAAAAATCTAATGTAAACTTTCGGGGGGAAGGGGATGTTAATAATGTGGACTAGTAACCCTATTGCCAGCAATGTACCATAGTAGATTGACCTCCACGCAGTTCACCCTGGAAATCACCGTAATAAATTCCTTATGAATTTACCACGATGGGTTAACTGATCTTGCTCATCTTATCATCCTCCAAGTAACCCTATTACTAGCAATATACCATATTAAGTGACCTCCAAGCAGTGCCTGGAAACCATTATATTAAATTCCTTATGAATTTACCACGATGGGTTAACTGATCTTACTTATCTTATCATCCTCCTCTGGTGCCCCGCCAGCGTAAACCATTAATGTAGACCCGTGTACCATTCCATAATCATCCGTTAAAAAATATGCGAGTACGTATTATAGGTACTTGAAGTAACTAACATCAGTTCAGAAATCTCAGACTTATCATTGTAATAAAAAATATTATTAATACATAACAAGTACATACGTAAGTGAACAATTCCCCTACTTTTCATTTAAATCATTTCTGTGTTGCTGTTTGGACGGGTCACGGCGGGTTTATCGATATATTGACTGTAATAAAAAATGGATAAATTAATATTAATTGTTATTGTTACTCTCGCGTTCACATCCTATGTCAACGCGAAGACGTTTACAAGATGTGGACTGGTTGGAGCACTGAGGAGTCAAGGTTTTGATGAGGCTAACCTGAGAGATTGTAAGTAATTTTTAATAGTTTTTGTTTATGAGTTGCATTAAGGAATCTATTTTTATACGATTGAAGTTTTTTTAATACTTAACTGGCCTGTGAAACAAGTCAACGGCCTTGGAAAGTCATAACCGTCGCCTATACACATCACAACATTTATAACACTAGTGATATCATCATGCATTGCCATTTTTGAGGACTGAGTTGTCTAGCTCCCGTATGCTAGTATTGCTGTCATTTATACCTACCAGAATACAGCTTGCACAGAAAGCTGCTTAATGACATAAATAAGTACGACAGAGGCAACCGAATAGATGACTTTGATCAAAGTCTACATTTTTTTTGTATTAAGATATAGAATAACATTTGCTATTATAGCTTTAGGACTATATCATGTGGAAACTTCAATACAGTTTACTTAATTAACTTAAAATGTATTTTTTTTGTGAAATCTTCTTTAAAGGTTTAAATTTAAAGTCTAGTTATATTTGGCTTAAATCTAGTAAAGCTATTCTTAGTTTGAGACTAGATGGCACTATGTAAGTTGTCCACATTTATTTATTTTTCCATATCTCGATATTACCCATACTAATATTATAAAATACGAAAGTTTGTTTATTACATTATCACTATACACGTGAACAGATCTTAATTAAATTTGACGTGTAGATATCACGAAGACATACAGATGCTGTTTTTTATCTATCTACCTATCTACGAGAATTAAAGTTTGTTCAAAAAATTAGCTACAGAAAATTAAAGCAACTGACCCATTGACATAAATTTGCAGTCGGAATCATTGCAAAAGATCGTACACGCTTTGTTAAAGTCAAAATCAGAACCATTTATTGATATAGCACCTTTCGGTTACCTATGTTATAAGGATTTTTCGTTAAGCATATACTGAGAAAAGGTTTTTTGTAAAAAACGATAATCAGTTGTGTGAATGCAAAGCAGTGGGAATCCCTGCTAGTTTGTTATCAGGTATTTACACAATTTGATTAGCAGGACCTCTATAGGTCAATTAATTCAAAAATGATAAAAATATGTAAAAGGCTATCACAGTATAGTGTATATTTATATTGATAATTCACTGTATTTACCATTAATAACAGTAAAAAGTAACCTATCTATTAATGTAGTATATGATATATCTGCATATCAAATTTCTTAAGAATTAATCCAGTAGTGAACGAATTACAAATATTCATCCATTCATGTACAAAAAAGTCACATTTATATGTAATATATATCTAATTAGGAAATAAAATATTAATTTTAATCGATTTTCGTAATAGGATTTTTTAGTTTCATATATAAGAGGTGTTTATATATACATATGTCGTGAAAAGTATTTTATTTATTTAAATTAATCGGTTTACCAGTCAATCATAAATAGTGAGTAATAAGAAAATAAATAGTAAAAAATAATAGAATAATCGTTCGAATATTGGTGTAAATTGTGTTTTCTACATCTGAATGTAGAACCAACATCATCATAGAATTGAAAATCTAAACACATGACATACATACAAACATTGCCTCTTTGTAATAGGTAAATACCGGTCCTACAGATCCGATTAAAAAAATTATTTTAGTGTTGGCTAGCCCATTTTTCAAGGAACGCTATTAAACATCCCGATATCATCAATGTGTGCGAATGCGATGGCTCCATATTGCAAAACCCGTTTTTGTAAAGCAGACATTGTTGAGGGGGTCAGCTAGTATACAATAGATATAGAAAGTAATAGATATAAAAATGTCTAAGAAAGAATTCTTATATGTGTATAAAATAAAAGTAAAAATACAAAAATATAGTGTAGCATAGTATACTCCCTAAGATAGACATAATAGTATATTCTGGTTCATTTTGTTATGTATGAAGTAATATAATAAAAAAATTATGTCTTAATAAAGCTGTAACTAGTCTGGTCAACGGGGTCATTGTAAAATAAAAAAAAAAGTGAGATGAAGTGTTCGGGTATTTAAGCGATGGATACTATTTCCATCAGCTCTCTCATAAACAGTAGTACCGTCAGTTTGTATGTTAAAGTTATTATACATCCATCCACTAGGGGTATGCCTGGTTGAAAGCGAGAGCAGTCGCAGGACGGACGTAGTCGGGAAGCCAAATAAAGATGGATCCAGGGACTACGGCCTATTCCAGATTAACGATCGATACTGGTGTAGTAACACCTCTACAGCCGGGAAGGACTGTAACATTACGTGTTCCCGTAAGTAAAAAATAAACAAGGTATAACCACAGATGAGATAATATTACATAGATTATGTTATCTGTGGTATAACATAGAGAGTAATAAAAACAAGTATAAGTTAAAATATTGTCATCACAATAAAATCACATATATAAGATAACATAAATAAAATTAATAGAATCAAACTAGCGGTTTAGCTTTACTTCTTACGGTCGCGAGTTCGATTTCTCGCATGGCACAAACATTTATATTCATGAGTATTTGTATCGGTCTGAGTGTTTTCAATGTATTAGTTGTCTAGTACCCATAACACAAGCTGTGCTTAGCGTGGCACTAGATGATACCATTTATCCAGGTTGATTATTATTGTTATTATTATATTATCATTATTATATATGTTGGTACTTATATATTAATACATGGGGAGATAGACTGTGAGTAATGAGGATTAAATAAACAACTGTACCAGTCGAGTGTTATGTGAGTATTTCTCAAGTGCTAGCTAACCGAATCAGACGGTATCTACAGACAGTGATAATAAAATTGTTCGCTCATAAACAGCAAAGAAGTATATGATTATATTATTTTAATTGTGAATTTTAATAGTATTATACATATGGCTACTAAATGTTCGTACGCCAACCCAACCTCTAGCGGTCCCACCGGAAAATGAAGAGTTTTAAATTTCTGACGAAATCATTACGATTAGCTTACCTATTTATCTAATTTTATGCTCACCACACCATCTTTCACTAATATATTGTTAACGTAATCTGGAACACTATTTTATCATAATCCAATATAAAAAGTACCTACAGTAGGAACAGAATAATAAACCGTAAATAACCGTAATAATATACCGTAGCGAACAGAAATAATAATAGAATATTTTCAAAATGTTAAAAAATGATGTTTTCTTCCAGAACTCTTGACTGATGACATCACCGTTGCCTCTAAATGCGCTAAGAAGATATACAAACGTCATCGGTTCCTGGCCTGGCGCGGTTGGACCAAACACTGCCAAAACAAACCGCTCCCTGACATCAGCAACTGCTAGAACATGGTCACAACAGAATAAATGAAATATATTTAAATTCTCTATTTATTTTATCATGATTCCAAATAATGGCGTCTCGATATTTCTCTAAAGCTATTTCTAAAACTGTAATATCATTATAAACTTTTAAATTACTAGCGGTCCATCTCGACTTCGCACGTATGCATTACGAATCTTTGATTTTCCTGGCTTGTTCTATACTTTAACAAGCATGCATTATACATTCTTCTGGAATAACTATCTATTGCTGACAACTGCATTACAATCCGTTGCGTAATTTAAACGATATAAGTGAACAGATAGCGACTTTGTTTTATACTATGTAAAGATATTTGTGGCGAAAACTTTATTGTTTGTTAGTTGACCCCGCCACGTAATATTATTATTTGTAAACTATATTCAGATATTTCACTTCAATCGGAAATAAAATGCCTAAATACAAAATTTTAAGTGAAGTTTACCATAATACATTAGTGAAAACCACATCCAAATTAGTTAGTGTTTCTGAAATAAGTACGCACAAAGCGCAGCGACAAACAGACAAAAACTCTACCAACAAATTTTTGGGTTCTTCAATCAATTATTTCAGTTTTCTCATAAATATTTCATGTACAGACAGCGACAAGTTACATTTTTATTATATGTATAGATTTAAGTCATCTGCACTTCCACACAGAGTAAAGTACCTACTCTCAAATATATATTTATTTAAACGTTTATAACCAGCAGGGTCATGAAAACACATAATGAAACGTAGACTAAGCAACATTATTTTTCGCATAAAAAACATCGCAGTCGGAGGTGTTAAGCTCATTACAGCTTGAACCATTAGTGTTAGGTGCTTACTCACTCGTTTTTAGGTTATGCGGTTTCTAGTGGATATTTTGCTTTCATACGAAGAGAATTTTAGTAAAATATGTTCCACAAACATGTTAAAAACATAGTAAAAAAAGTAGTAGGTATAATTTCAGTAATAGTTATTTTAAATAAAACAAAATCTTATGTATATAAAAAATATATGTATGAAAATGAATAAAATAAGAATTATTTTAGTTTCATTAATTAATCTACTCTAGTACCTTTTGGGTCCAAGTGTTAGGCGAAAATATAAAAAGTAAAGAAAATTATTTGTTAAATTGTTAAAGAAAATCTATTTTAATAGCACATTTCAAATAGCATAATGATGATGTTCATTTTATTTATTTGGCCCATATTATAAAAACCTTACAGATTAACATACATATAAAATAATAATAAAATATAAATTGCCTCTGTGGTCACGGCACTGATGACGGCTATCTGCCATGGTAGCGCAGACACATCACCCCCTTCAGGCCGTAGTTTTCCTTTATGAAAGTGGGCAATATGTTGGTGGGGACCCGGGGTAAAAACGGCTCTTGTGACTCTACTTCAGGACCCTTAATGTCAGATTATTCCTGATCGATACATAGTCGACAATGTCCCGCTATTTAAGTCAAATTTGTATTTTGATTGTAAAAAGAGTTTAGTATCAAAATGATCATATTACTTAATTATCCACGTAATGTGCATATAAAAAGAGTCTAATTGAAACCACCCTCTTTTTGAAGTCGGTAGAAAGAATTGCTCCATATTCCACGCATGCGCGCCCCATCGACTCTGTGCCCGAGTGAGCCACATTGCAGTTGTGTTGTGATGTTCGCGGTCGGATGGGCGGCGCGGGTTGGGCGCGCGGCGAAGCGCGCGTAGCCGACGACTCCGATTTTGAGACATTAAAATCCTTACTAGCATCTGAAGAAGGTTGGACGTTGGAGTACGAGAAAGAAGGAGTCAAAGTGTGGGCCGAGGACGCCGCACACGGTGCCCTAAGAACTGTAAAGGTCTGTTATATTTCTCTACTAAATAAATCTTTGACGTTATTTATTACACTCAATGATATATGTCAGCTTTTCTGCAACGAATTAACATTTTTTACTGGGTTAACAACTCGACCCCTTGCGTGTGAGCTCAAATAAGCCTTTGTTTACAGTCAGTTGTTGTGTACACGTATAAAATTATAATTGATTTTAATATTAAATGCGAAAGAACGCTAAATAAACATTTACCTGGTTAGGTTTGTTTAGGCCTGTCCTAATTTGGGACTGTGCTAGGGACAGTTGCTCTGCTTGTTTTCTTAATCAGAATATGTCCGCCCATCGGGCCAACTTGTACAAGATAAACTGACCTGTTTAAATTTTAATATCGTTCACAAATAATGCAAATAAAGCTCAGAGTGAGTACTTAAGAGTTGTTCTTTTAATAAAATTTACATGAACAAAAGAATGTGTTTGAATGAGTTTATCCATACTAATATTAAAAAGAGGAAAATTTATTGTTTGATGATTGTAAATTCGGTAATGAAACCAACGTGTGAAAAATACCAATTTAAATATTTGTAAGTGGACGCTACGGAAATTATTCACAAATTAGCAAAAGGATATAACTACAGTTCTATAGAGTAGATTAATATGTTAGTGTTATTTAAACATAGATAAAAAGTACTCATGGTTAATTTTAAATTCCCTTCGAAATATTGTAATACACAATTTTAAATAAATTTACATTCATATGTTCATATGTATCATATGAACATTTTAGTTCAATAGGTATATGGCATCTTAGATTATTTGTCTTGGTAATATAATGGACGTAAAAGAGAATTAATACTACTAATTTTTATTGCATTAATTAATAATTATATATTTTTTTATAATAATATCCTACGACTATTCACACAGCGCCATCTAGTCCCAAGTTAAACTGAACTTGTGTGGGACTAGTCGACAGATATAATACATAATACATAGATACTTGTCTTTATAAATATATATACATCGAAAACACCCACACCGATACAAACATACATGAATAGAAAATGTTTGTACCATGCGGTATCGAATTCGCAACCATCGGAAGTAAAGCGGTGTGATAAACTTCTGAACCAGCGAGGCCGTCTATATATTGTACGCTAAAATGCTAAATTCAAATAATAAAATAAGGACTGAACAAAGTAGGCAATTAAACATTTATGTGTCGTAATCAAAGATTAATGATATGGCCAATAGTAGAAGAGAAGTTAACTTCTTTTTATTCGTGATAAACGACCGCTCCTCAAGTTTTAATTAAAGTTTTCTATCGAACTTGTATAAAATTTCCCTTAAAGAAATCCAAAATTCACTTATTCAGCATTTAGTATGCTTAAAAGTAAAACTTGGTCGTTTTTTCCGCGTTACATTTTCATGAGTTACGCAGTAAAAATGAATGTTTAAAGAGATCCCACATTAAAACGGAAATGTTTAGACATTTTAATGGAACAGATTAACGTATATCTCAAGAATTCAATTTAAAAATCATATAGAATTACCACAGAGAAAAACATATTGCGCCGACCCCAAATAAATCCAAATCACAGGCTTTGTGTGAACCGCTTTGTTCAAATAGAAATTCAAATTAGAAAATCATTTATTCATGTAGCTCCAACTATTACCTTGCACGTTTGTCATTTAAGCAATTGTTTAGTGGGTTTTTTTTATTAATGGAGTGTGGCTATTACTGAATGCCAAAGAGAACCTAAAATGGATACGAGCAGCGCAGGACCGATCGTCGTGGAGATCTTTGGGGAAGGCCTTTGTTCAGCAGTGGACGTCTTCCAGGCTTAAAGGATGATGATGTTTATGAAAGAGAACCTGTAGCACTGCTACCTGCACCTACTGTGCTCGCCCTTTTTTAGAGTTCTCTGCCTAGGCCCGTCAGGGACTAGAATTAAAGGATATTTTTAGGAACAATAGTTTTTATCACTTCAGGATTGGTGTGTACGTTCCAAAGGAGATATTTCGTTTGACGCATGAGTGGGCTACAACCACATAGGATATGTAGTGGCGTTTCCTCTTCCGTTTAGAAAATCTGCAAATCTTTTTTAAACACAGCTCTAGGTTTGTCATATGTTTATTTAATTTGCAGTTACCAGTGAGGGCACTAGTCATTATGCATATATTGTTATTACTCAATAGCACTAGTCTATAAGAGTATTAATTAGAGTAGGATATCATTAAGGTTTTAGAATGTACTAATTCTGGTATTTCGTGCCAGTAATTTAGTGCTTCCTGCATAGTAGAAGGATTAAATATAATTAAATTAAAAAAGTTTGTTAATACAATTTACTTTTATGTTCGTATAGCATACATGATGAGTCTTTGAAAACCTGTGTTATGGTAAAAGATTAAATTAATTTCCTTTCAAGTACAGAATTTCTGTCTACTCTACTGAAACAAATTTAATTTAATTTCTCTTATATTATAAAGATTATTAAATTATCCTATTATGTTAAAATATTTTCTATATGATTAAGGTTATAATAGAATGTCTTAATAGCTGAAAGAACAATAACATATTAAATTAAACCTACAGTGATTCCTTATTAGTTTATATTGATAATAATAAAAATTTTGAATAATCTGTTATTATATACAAATATACTGTTTGTCGCGACTACGTCTGCTTTATTGTTTTTACGTAGTTTTATTGTTTTTTTAGTTGTCTTATACAATCCATTTTCATGTATAATTTATATATTATAAATCTATCTAATACCTGTTCTGCTGTTTGCTGTTGTCTAGTTATTTAAAATATTTTTTATGCTTTTGTATAGTTCTTATGCGTGAATGTATGTAGATCTACACACTGGTAAATTCCTTTGTATCTTTGATAATATAATGTAAGTGATGAATGTATAAGGTATTGAATTTTTTTAAATTTATTATTATTTAAATACATAATAGAGATACTCTTTGAAACTTTATACCTTATTTATATTTCGTTGAATGTAGGTACATTTACATCTTATATATACTTCAGTTTCATTTATATTTCGACCTTGAGTCCTTGATATACTTGAATGTACATATCTAGTACAGTTTCATGGGTATCGACATAAGGCCTTAGATATAATATGTGCATTAAATGTATATATATTTCGTTTTCTGATACAAATGAAACACAAAGACTTGTAGACTGAGTAGGCGCCACGCCTACGCTACGAACGCGTAGATAGTCTCGGCGTTGAAGAAAGTGTACAGTGTAATTGTATCTGTGTATTACAATATATGTACATTGTACAAGCTGTGAATAAACCATAAGTGTTATACATTCTGTGGCCTTGCTTACCACGGTTTTTTAGTAGATACAGTATAAGGGTGGTGCTTGTTAGGCAAATGGTAGGTACAACGTTTGAGTGTATACTGTCTGTTTATTGTAATAATCAATCCTTATATACTACTTACTTACAACAGTTGCATTAGCCTTTTCATTACATAGTATAAAACAAAGTTGCTGTCGCTGTCTGTCCGTCCCTATGTAAATAGAAATATTAATATTAATAAATATTTTAATACAAATATTATATCAGCGAATTATTTTTTTATTTTTCTAGTACTTACATATTTTTTTGTGAGATAAAATTAAAAACAATGTACCGAGTTAACAAATAACAGAAAAATCGATAAGCGATAGAGATCGTAACCTTGCCATTCTTATGGAAGAGTCTCTCAACGTCCTACTTGAACCTTTTAAAAATATTAAGAACCCTGTTTAAAGTGTTCTGCCAATATTGTTTCTAGGCGCATTTTTTTAAATATTCTATACAAACCTATACCCCTATTATATAAGTAGGAATGTCGCGGATAAAATTTGAAGAACAATCTCTTATAGCTTATTATTTATCTCTTTATCTTAACGTCACCTTACGTCTTCTATCTGTCATCTTAGTTGGTAGGAAAAATGTTTTACAATATTCGTATTTTACGGGTGTATATGTCACAAAATTTAACCTCCAATCAATAACGTTTATTTCCGTTTTCATATATAATTTATCGATTATAGATGTACATAATTAATATACATACGTACATAATAGGGAGGAATGGAGGCAGACTCGCCCCCGCTAGGTTGGTTTCTAATATACCCAGCGAAATGCGGGCATACCAAGTGTTGCGTTAACAACAACATTAACAAAACCTAGGCTTACCACATGCAGTCGTGACGGTATTTAGTATTCATGTACATGACCAAAGAAACTAGATTAGAATATAATGTCTTTAATGCTAATTGTATGGGTACATTCATTTATAGTTGGTATCATCAATAGTTACACCCCAACGGATACAGGACTTTACAACTTAACTTAGATTTATCATTATATCTCAAATTTTTATTATTAAAACGTCATATATAATATTAAAAAAGCGAAAGTTTGTGACTATAGATGAATGTTTGTTACTCTTTCACGCAAAAACTACTGAACGGATTATTGATGAAACTTCACAGTAACATAGCTTATACATCAGAATAACATATAGGCTATAAATTTGACACGGGTGAAACCGCGGGTATAGCTTGTATTATTACATTTCTATGCTATTATGAAAGTGATATATCTACATATGTTGAAACACTCCATGTATAATAAGTATGAGTCATAAGACTCTACCTTATTATATATCTTAATCCTCATTATATGCAAATATATTACATACTTTTAATCATGTTTGATATAAATCGCTTATATCGTAAATTGGTTGTGAAAGCAAATGTGTGCTTATCTATATATTTGTTTCACCCATTGTTTTCTTTGGGAATATTGTGCTCCCTCCTGACTTTTTGATGCTCTCGAAAAAATCAATAATTTATTCAAAGGGGTCTTCGAAACGGCAATCCGCGCCTGTTGTGAAAACAAAATTTGTTTTCGGTCCCCACCTTTTTTTATACATTTGCATTATTTGCATGAATGCAATATATATATTATTTGACTCTGAATCTTTTTATTTATAGATTCAAATGAATATAG